AAACTAGAGCCAATCAACAATTTTAAGCATCATTTTCGTTCTCAGTGACCCAGAATTAGTAAAGTTTGACTACATTTATTTCAGAAGCATTTTGGCTGTAGAGCAGTGTAATGGGGTAGGTAGCAGAGCAGTACCATGAGAGGAGTAGAACAGGAAGAAGGCAGAATTGAGAACTTTCAAAGTTTTGGCCCAAGCGAGGGGGCATGGGGGCGTCATTTGAGCTCTCCACCTCAGGTGCCAAAATGTGGGCCAGCCCTGTGGCTGGCTGATGCCTGCGAGCACTAAAGCAGGGTACTGGCTGCAGCAAGTGGTGACAAAACCTCCACATCACTATTTTTTCTCATTGCTGGCATCTGGATTAAGGCAGGCTGCCCAGATTATTCACTGTCAACCTACTTGTATTGGCAATCGTGGGCGCGTACTTGCCTCTTCATTTCAAAGTACAACACTGGAAAGGCAGAGGACTATTCCATTCTGTTGATTCTAATGGGTTCTATTCTCTACATAATACCTAGTATGCAGCCTGATTACTTGACCGATAAGGGTAAACATGAGAGAGCCCTGCTAGGCCATATCTCAGGCACTTAAAGGCTTATATACTGCTTTAATTACAGCTCATGAATTGTATTAGCAATGTGTCCAGGAAAATCTGCTAACACTGTATGCAGCGCTGCTTTATTTTGTCACCAAGTTATTGGCAGACTGGCGAGCTTGGCTTGTTTAGCCTAGCAAAAAGAAGGCTAAGAGGGGATATTATTGATCTCTGTATCTACATTAGAGGGAGAAGGTAAATACTAGGGAGGGTGAAGAGCTATTTAAGATAGACGACAATGCTGGCACCAAAAAACAAATGGATGTAAACTGGCCATGAAGAAATTCAGACTGGACATTCGAAGAAGGGCTCTAATGATCAGAGGAGTGAAGTTCTGGAACCGTCTCCAATAGTTGTAGGGGCAAACAACTTAATTAGTTTTAAGAGAGAGCTGGCAGTTTTACGAGTGCAGCTGTATGTCAGGGATGCTTGTGATGGTGGGGGGCAGCGCTCAATAGCCCTGAGGCTTATGTGGTTTACATCTTATGTTCCTAAAGCTCATGCTTTAGGATTTCAGCTGCCCATCAGCAGGAGTCAGGGAGGAATCCATTCCACCCCTCCCCCCATGTATTCTGGAAGGATTTTTTATATTCTTCTTCTGAAGCATCAGGGATGGCTACAGCTGGAAATAGGATATTGGATGTGGAGGGCCAGTGCTCTGAGGTGGCACTGAGCAGTCTCCCTCAGGTGCTTGGCTGGCTGGTTCTTGTTCACATACTCAGAGTCTAACTGATCGCCATATATGGGGGTCGAGAAGGCATTCCCCCCCCACCTCTGTTTGGCAGTGACCTTCGGGTTGTTGGGTGGTTTTTTTGCCTTCCCCTGCACTTGCCAGGATTATCTGTGTATATCTCACTTAATCATTTCCCTGCTGTTGCAGGGACCTCGATCCCTCCTACTTTCTCCAGCCTCGTGACACATCATAGTCTAGCCTCCTGAGGGGCTGTAATCCTTTAGTCTAATTTCCCTAGTTGGGTTTAGCATGCAGGTGCCAGGTGATGTTGTATGGTTGGACTAGATGACCTGGTTGGCTCTTCTGGCCTTAAACTCTATGAATGCCAAATTGGCACTGTTTAGAAGAACAATTTTTAATGTCTACTGGGGTGAAAATCCATGTAGTGCAGAGGGCCTATGTTGGGGTTGTATTTGGGGGTCTGGAGCTAGGCTGCATGTGGAGGTGCAAATGTTCCCCCAGATATCTGTGCCATCCATATACAGTGAAAGGTGATGAACTGAGGCAGAGGCTGTGGGCTCCATTGTTCTAAGGAGTGGGGAAGAAAGGAGGTAGCTGCCACGCTTTCCACTGGAGTAACAGTTCTGCAGCCTGGCCCAAGTCGGGGGTGGATTTCTGCTCCCCAAACTCTCTGCACTTCACCTCATAAAGTCCAGTAACTTGGACTTTGAGTGAATTTTCCCCAGCACAATATGCTAGAGACTCGTTTTGCCTGTGACAGGAATGGCTCTAATCAGTACTGATTTACATTTTAAAACAGCAGTTGCCAGATGGCCACACTTATGTTTTCTTATCCCAGGATGTCCCCTGTTGTTCGCATCATGTCTTCTACTTGTACTAAATGTCAGGTGTCTGTGTTATGTCTGTATACTTGTGTATGGCTGAAGCTTGGTTTCCAAATGCACCATATCTTTACAATTCCAGTTAACTGTGACTTAGTTTGTGTTGGTTAGTGTCCTTCAACCAGCACTCAGAACTGAACCCCAATGGTTTTAGGTCTGAGACAGAGCCAAAATCCAAGGTCTGTTTGGCAAAGATGGCAAAAATCTGCGAAACTGGACAATCGTGAGATTTATGCTCTTCTGGATCAAAACTGCATAATACTACAGTCCATTTGAAATTAAACCAAGCGCTTAGCAGCCCTAGTTCGGCCTTGAACCACAACTGAATCCTGGCCTAAACCCATTCCCAATCCTACTGAAGTTCAAGATGAATGCCACACCCCTAAACCAAATTAAAATTTTTATTAAAGCTAATGTTTAAAAAAATGATGTAATACACAGGTTGAAAGAAGAGTGTCTGTACATCTGGGTATAGTGCTTAGATTATCCACAAATACAGAGTTTGTCTTTAAAAGTTATATGATACATAGAGTACGTAATCAGCAATAACCCAAATTTAGGCGAATACACTAACCCTAAACCAAAGCCTAACCAGAACCTTGCACTCCCCGCTCAACACTCAGTGGAACCCCAAACTCCATCTGGCTTCAAACCCTCCTAAGCTCTTTGTTTCTAGTCTCTTCTATTCCCCTCAGCTCTTCTGCAAATGTCCAGTTTTTTTCCTTTTAAATCACAGTGTTTTTGTTATAGGCTATCTAGTTATTGATTTAATTAAAGCTCTCATACCCAGCTCTTCTTAGGTGAAAGAGCTGCATCCTTACCTCAGGAAGCTCTTTGAGAACAAACACTAACATACACTGCAATACAATGAGAAAAGGAAGTGTCCTGTTAAGTGATATCTTTACGGATGCTCAATAACCCCTCCCCACCACCCTGAATAAAACCAGAATTTTGCTTTTAAAGATGTATTCTACTTTGTGGCAATGGACACTAAAATTAATACCTGTGTGCCTAAAGCTACATTTATCCCATCAGGGTTTATTTAATTCATCTACAAAGAGCATAAAAGGAAAAAACAAGTAACGCCTTAAGCTAGGATGACGTTCAAATACGTACCCTACTCTTTTCACCTTCCTATTCATTCTTCCCTCTCTTTCACACACATACACTGAGCAGCCCATTAGACTGAATTGGTTCCTTTTGGGAACATTCTGTTCCCTCTCTTTGTCCTCACTCCGATACAGTGCGGCACGGTAGTGCTAGGCAAACACAGCTAAACCATACTGCAAATACTCTTGCTGATAAAGAATGAATTGGCTACAGCTGGGAGCCTTTTGGTTTTGCTGTCTGTGATGATTTTATTGAGTAGGTTTTACTTGCAGGAATATTAGCACAAACAGCAAATATTGGAGAATTCTCACAGAAACCAAATGTTCATTATTTCAATAATGAATATATTTGAGAAAACAGTTTCTCACTGACAACTTGCGTCAGAAAGAGGCTATATTCATTAGATAATTTATTCATGCTGCATATAAGTGTTTACTTAATAAAGAGGTATAAAAAAATAAGGGATTCCTTCCATTGAGTTTTGCAGTAAGCAAGGAGTTGACTGATTTCCACCCATTTTCTCCTTACCTATAACAAACCAAAATCATGGCAAAGGTGGGGTCCCATTGCCCCATCCCACATAACACATTTTATTTAATCAGCACACACCTTCCTAGACAGTTGTGTGGAACAAACAGGGACAATAATAAAGGCAAATGAAAAATTCATAAGAGAAGTTTATGAAAAAAACTTTTAAGCAGCCTAATTTATTCTGTGTTTGAGGCACCTGTTTTTTTAAGGGAAATGCAGTTAATAAGAAAGATAGTGAGATGCTGAACTGCACTGCTGGCTAGTTTCATTGCAACAAAGAATCATCTTTGAACTCTATCGCATGAGTGTCAGAGAGGTAGAAAATCAATTACATTTGGAAAGAATGGGACTCGGAGTTGCAGAGTTCCTGCTGTTGTCAGTAAGAAACGATTAACACATATTATACTAGGACATTTGGAGAGATTCCCGTCAGAAACATTCAAGGCAAATAAAAGAAACCTTTAACATTTTATTGCTGAACAGCAGAAAATACAGCTTTGCTTATACCATACAGTCAGATCTGACATAAACTCACGTGTGTGTATAAACTTTGGGGAATGTTTTCAATACAAAACAGATAGGCCATTCTGGAAAAAACTCTCAAGCATATGGTGTTGCAGGAAGGGTCGGATACTGCTCCCATGGACGTAAATGGTGCAACTTCCATGTGCTTTGAGTAGGACTGGACTGAATCTTTGAGGCCTTCTATTAAATAAAGGCTAGTCTACACTAGAAGGGTTACAGTGGCGCAGCTGTATCTACCACGAGAGGTGGTAGCTATGTCAGTGGGAGAACTTCTCCCGCCAACATAGAGCTGTCCACACCAGCACTTAGGTTGGTGTAACTTACGTCACTCGGGTGTGTGTGTGTGTGGCTTATTCACACCCCTAAGCGACATAAGTTATACTGACATATCCTGTATTATAGACAGGCCCTATGATTCACCCATGTAGAGGACCCACAAGCAGCTCTCTCCACTGGAGTGAATTTCATCCCCATTGAGCATACCTTACCTTTTACTTCTGTAATAAAGAGGATCACTGTAGTATTTTTAACGCATACCTTTCACTATACTGCAGCAGGTTCCATGATCGCTATGTGTTTTCATTTTCTCCTAACATCCATATAATAATTAATTAATTATACAGAGCCTTAGGTGTGAATTACACTTGAATGTATTCTCTATCATCCAAATACTATGTCAATGCCATTCTCTTCAAAGGAGAGTGCTCAAAAACAGTCTCTCACTTAGGGATTTTTGTTTTGTTTTTTTGCTGGGAAATGATTTGTTTTGTAAGTGAAAGAATTCACAGCTCTGTGGATAAGGATTCAGAATGGCGCTCTCCGGAGTGCTTTCCATCTTCAGGTGGTTTGGACATGCGCTGCATAAAAGAGGAAGAGAATGCCATATGTTAAAAGGCAGTTTTGCTTGGACCCCATTGAATGCATATACAGTAACTAGCTTGTGTCTTTAATCTGGTTTTCAGCATTGCCTGCTTCAGCAGTGGCACAACATCACATTCAAGTCAGAAGAAAAATCATGGGCCAAATCCTGAAGGTTTTTCTTTTTAATAAGGCCCCCATAGTGCAAAGCCTTAAGCACATGCATAACTTTACTCATGTGAGTGATCCCCTTGACAAGACTTTACAGACATGACTAAGTCATTGTAGGATGGAGCTCTAAACTTTTATTAAGTCCTGACTGGGCTTGTAAACAGGGTTTGTTTGTTTGTTTGTTCTTTTCACTTTGGGTGAGACCACAATGTAAAGTTGATTCACATGTACAGTACTCTGCCTTTGTGAGACAAGTTTAATATAAACAAAACCCCAGGGGCTCCAAATTAAGTTATTTTACTCTTGCTCCTATCAGGAAGAAATAAGCTAGAAAACATTTAAACACGGGTTTCTCCAGTGCTGTATTACTCTCCCAGAAAACAGCAAGCTATGGCTTTTTAAAGCACAGTAGGAACAAAAGGATGGAAATGGAATCTGTGCAACAAACACACTCTTTGTAAAGTATCAGCAGAGAGCTGATGGGTGTAAAATATCATAGATGTCACAGAATGCTCCTCCACTATGAATATCAATGGCTTCTGGCACCTCTATCAAATACAACCTTCTGACATCTCTAAGACTCCTTTACAGGGCACATGCATTTTCAAGGCAAATTTCAAAACTTCTGATCTTAGTGTCTGCACCGAATATAAAATATTTGTTGTTAACTGACATTGGGCCAAATTCTGTGGGTTTTTTTTTTAATTGTTCAAAACTCTCCTAAATCAATAGGGGTTTGAGCACAAATTGCTTCAGGGAGCTTGGCTGATTTTAGTGAGAGACAAATTCTACCTTCAGATGGGTACATATCTGAGGTCAGATTTTGACCCATCCTGTGTATGGTAACATACTTTGCACTACAGGCTATTAGCAACTATTGTGCTGTTAAGAACCAGCTGCCCAATTTAAGTTTAAAAATGCAACAGATAATTGTTTTGCCATTAGGATGTTGTGTAAATCAGACTAGAAAAAAGCTGTAGATCAAATGAGACCTCTTGTGGTATGGCTAGAGCACTACACCTCTTAATAAACTCTGTATCTAGGTATGAAAAATGCAGAAAAATACGCTTTCTTTGGTACGTACATGGAAACGTTCACTCCCCCTTTAGCCTGGAAAATGTACGGATGTCAGAAATTTAAGTAAGAGAAAATAAAACTTTGGGTAAGTTTCTGTTCCACAGAGGCCTCTTGCTTTTAAAACCCTTTGTTACATTTTACTTTCACACTTGGAATTTATTTGGGCTTTTTTTTTTATGCCAATGCATTTTTTAGGAAAGTGATCCGTCCTCCTTTTTGTACACATACATACACAACACTTACCTTTGTTTTAAAGAACTGGTTCACTCTCTTTTTTTTCAGGGTCTTCTTATCTCCCTCTGAGGTAGAGGGAAAAATTTGCTGGCTTAGCCTTTGTGATGCATTTATTTCATCAGGAGCTGGGGTGCAGACTACTGACAGAGTTAACCCTTGAAAGAGAAACAAATGATTGGTTGTTAGGAAAGAGAGTTCTACAAAGTGCGACACAAGGCAGAGCTTACAATAATGAATTCTTACAATTCCGAAGGAAAGGTAAGATGTTTTAGTTTAATCATAACTCTTGAAATGCAGCATAGGGGGAAACTAGCTTACCTGGGGCTGGGTTTGGTTACAGTTACATTTAAACTGTATATAGAACAGTCACTGGGCCTGAATCTGCTTTTACTAACACTGGTTCTATATTGATTTTTGTAACTCCATTGCTTGCGGCCGAGTCCCGCCTGATTTGCTCTGGTACAAATGGAAGAATGAGAGTCGCTATTCTAAGATACTTATGCAGGGAGAAGGCAAGTTCCTCCTGTGGGTACATTTTAAATAGGCAGTCAGGATTACTGGGAAAAGGCTATGCTTTATTTAAGGAAAATATTGCATCTATCAATATCCCAAGGTCTGCTCATGGGCTAAATAAACTAACACATCTGAATTCACCAGACCCAAAGCCTCTACCTCTTCAAGCAAAGAGATGAGGGGGCAGAATGTACACTGTAAACTGCTGAGTAAGAAGAGCTTGTTTACACTAATCTTTACTCCAGAGAAACTTCCCACCAATGCTACCACTGGTTGAGCTCCACCGCCAGTTGCAGCAATGGGAGAGCTAGTCTGTTCTACCACTATGTTATTTAGATTAGTTCTGTACAGGATTTGAAAACGGGGGTAGAAATGCCAGCATTAACAGGAAACTGTTTTTGAAAAACAAAAACCTATTTTTAGTTTTGGCCTTTTGTTGAAAAAATGTTTGCAGAAAATTTGGAAGGAAACAACCTTATTTATTTATTTTTTTAGAAATTTCCCCCCAAAATAACTGACTTTTTTCAACCAGCTTTCCTGGGCACCTGTCAGGATAAGGCCTTAGCCAGCCAGAGGGTCCTGTCATGTCTATTTAACCAGCCTCACAAACATGCGGTCTCTGTGTGAAGTGTAAGGTACAGTCAGGAGCTGGCGGGAGCAATGTTCACCTGTGCTGTGAACAAATCTGATCAAAATGAAAAATAAACATGGGGAAGTAAGTCCAATGGAAGTGAGCATTGCAGATAGGTCCTAATACTATTTAAAAAAAACTATTTCATTCAGGTTTTCACCCAGCTTTACCAGAAGGGGATATTCTTCACTAGGCAGCCAGAATTGTGTGTTGTGCACGACTGCACTTGTTCTCTCTGACCCTCGCATTGCATGTGACGGTTGGAGTTGGTAGTGGCCCAGCCCTAATGGCCAGGATTAATAAGTCAATCAATGCTGCTGGGAATGAGGGGCCTTGAGGAGCATGCAAGGCACAATCCTCATTGCCCTTCTCCTCACCACAGTGATGGTTCAAAGGGCCACCCCTTGCAGGGAGGAGCGTGTCTAGCAACAGCCCTTCTCTGCAGCAGGAGAGCAAAGGCCTATGACTAGTTTTCACAGACAGTGAAGCTATGCTGTTGTCCTAATTCCCCCTGTGTGACTGATTCATTTGTTTGCCCCTTTCCCCTCCCTTCAGGCAAATTTTGGCTGAAGTGGCTTTTCTTTGCATCTTCTGCCTACCTATTTCAAAGAACAGACGTGGGTGTCTGTTCCCTCCCTCCCTGCTGACTCCCTCGGAGGTAGCAACTGTAGGGGGGCTTGCTCTGGCTCTCCATTACTGTAGGACTTCACAGTGCTGCGATGGTACCCCGCTCATAAAACTGCTGGCTGTCGGTCTTGCCTGCCACACAACTACCAGAGAGACTCTCTTCAACTGCCAGGCTGCCACTGGCTGTTTCCCTTTCCATTTCCCTCGGGGAATCTCACCTCAGATGTCAATAGCAGGGGCTATATTCACTTTTGGGCCTCTACACAGACACACACATCTTCCCCATCTGTGAGATGCTGCATCTGTGTTGGGCACTATTATTGATCTCAACCCGTTGGCTTTTTTCCCCTCAAAAGCAGGGGACAGAGCAACCCTTTCATCCCTTTTTGATTCCTGCTGCATTCCGCTCTTGGACACACTGTGGAAATGTTTCCTTTCCATAAATAAGGGCGCACACAGCTGGGAAAGTCAATGGACCTTGGCTCCATGGGAGCCTTGGAAGACACGGTTTCTTGGAGGTTTGGTTCCTTATTGTGCTGCTGTGCAGGGAGAGAGGAACTAGTGCTAGTCAGTGCTCAGCCTGCAGCCCTTTATGGTGCAGTCAGATGGTAATTTAATAAGACATCTGTGGTTCTGCACTGAATTTTTTTAGCCAATGGACTTATTCCAGACTCAGCCTGAGGCAATTCCCCTGTGATGCCATAAATGAAGTTATGTCCTCAGAGACTTTTTCTGTTGCACCATTTAGATACAACAACAGGAATAAGCTGGGAGAGTTAGATTAGCATTGAAAGTTGAGGAGGCATTTTCCTTATCTGAAAGGAGGCTGGGCCCCTGAGGATTTTTCAAAGCAATACTTTACATTGTAGTTGTTACATTTCCCAGAACTTACATAATATCTCATCAGCATAATGAGAGTGAGTTATTCTGTTTTAAGGCCTGTATCACTATGGAATAGCATTTAAGTGCTGTCCTAGCCAACTCTATTTCAACCCTAAAAGCTTCCTAAAATCAAATGCTTCCATAGAACGAAGAACAAAAAACTCATGTTTGTATTTTTAATCTAAATGAATAGCAGGCAAACAGTGCAGCACTCTAATTCTCTTACTGTAATTAGCTTACCTGGTATAGTTGGCATAGAACGACTGGCAAAGCTCATTTGCTTGAGAACAGATGTTTTCTGAGGTGCTACCAGATGTTCAGAGAGGTTGGTGTCGCTCATAAACTCATATTTCCTTGAGAGCTATATATTAACAAATACAAAATTGTTACCATCAGTGTTTAACGCAGATATAACTAATAGTGGTGAGCTAAGATAAATTAACAATTTATACGCGAGACACAACCATGGCCTGGTTCTGTTACCTTTACTCACAGTGAATAATACCTTATTACAGTGATTTCAGTGGGATTATTCATAAAGTAAGATACTACTCAAAGTGATCAAAAGTAACAGAATTTGGCCCATGGAGACTATGAAAGGTACAACTTCCTAAGTAAATGTTCTGGAGCTGATTTATAGTCAATAATCTGCTTATTCCACAGACTGAGAAAAAAGATTTAAACCCCTAAAACTGACAATTCAATACGTTGTAGGCTATATAGGATTGTGTGATAGTGTTCCTACCATATATGGAATAATATTGTCATCAACCCAGACTATGGATCTGAAAGTAAAATGAGACTGTGAAGAACTATTTTCCCTCCAGCGTTAATGCCGTCAGTTTAGGTGCTAGAAGAGACATGCCGCTTTTATAACTTGAGTCAAAAATGTATTTATTTTACAAAAGGTACATTTTTTCACACAAAAAAGAGACTTTTTTCACTGGATGAATTATTCCATCACTGATGAGCAGTGACCACTTCTTTACAGTTTGTAGTTTATTGAGGGGAAGGCACTGTAGCTGTAGATATTTTTTTTCTTTTTAAAACTTGCTGTCCTGCTATAAAGATCTCTCTTTTCAAGATCATAATTCTGAAGTGAAAGAGCATTAAAATGTTAGGTCTAAAAATGGAAATGCATCCCCCACCCAGACCAGTCCTTAAAGAAAATAGAAAAAAGGCAATTTTCTTTTGCCCGCCAAATAAACACTGTCTGTTTATATTACCAAAACTGATGGTGCACTGAAAAGCTTTGCATCTACCAAGACTACAATTATAAAGGTTCTCTGTTTCTGCTGCAAATACTATTGCTATTACCCATGCAACAAAACCAGACTATTTTTGTCCTATTTTTAACGGCTGCTGCTGTTCTAAAGTGCTCCCTTATTGCTCCTACTAGGAAACATTTCCTACTTAACCAACTTTTGGAGGAAGCATTACCAGGGATTGTTAACTTTGGTGCAAGAAGCAATGCTGTCAGCTTTTGTTTTTGGCACTAAGCTATTGAGTTTTTAATTCTTCCTGTACAAATAAAAATGTACATGCTGTCATCTTCTTGTACAGATTTTGCTTATACCTGATTTTCTTCAAGTTCACAGCTCCAGAAATTGACAAGACAGCCAACAGTGATGTAAGGAACGCAGTGTCTACACAGACACTGTGTTGCCCTAACTATACCGACATAAGCTCTATGTCAGTGTAGTAGGACACTTACGTTAGCGGGACAAAGCTGTAGTGTGTACGCTGACATAATTAGGTCAACATAAGCTGCCTTATGTGGACCTAACTGTGCAGTCTAGACCAGGCCTCTTTCTGTGAGGGTAGGTCATATCCTGACTTCTGTATCTCTGCCCACCAGGATTGTATATATGAGATAGCCAAATTCAGCCATCAGGGAGGCCTATAATGCTATATGTGATAAGATTCAAGGTGTGGCTTATGGTCAGGTGGGTGACTATTCGTGGTTATCTCTATCACTTACGTCCTTCTAGTTAATGAAGCTGAGGCCAAAATGTCCATTTTACACCTTTATAGTGTGGCACATCCTCGTCTGGAATGCAGAGTGTGTGCTGCTAGTGGTATCATCAGTGTGCCAAACCACAGAACTTGGCTTCCAGCAAATGAATAAAGGAGGAAACAATTTTTAATTAATTGATTTTAAAATGTAGGTGTTTGTCATTTTTAAGTGCACATGTAAAAAACCAAATTCATCCCTAGTGGGGCTCCATTAGTCAGATCCGTGACAGCAGCAATGAATTAGGCCTATGTCTCTGAAAGGAATCTTAAACAGCTTTATCCATATGGGGAAATAATTCTGCTTGTCTTTAATGATTCTTCCAAAAGATTTTTGATCAAATGACATATACTCTGACCTCCTTACTCAGCTCAGTGATTGCCTGCACTTGAATTTAGACAGAGCTTCTCTAGCTAAACCTTTGAAAGTTTTTTGCTTTTAAATTGCATCTCTTTTTACACTCAAAAACATTTGGCTCCTGAAGATGATCTTATAAAAAACTGCACGGTGTAAGTCATATAAGTCATTCTGATGATCCATTAGTCTGATAAAAGCACTTGGGTGATATATAGGACAAGAGAGAAGCCAATGCCTATATGCTCAAATTTGGCACCATTTAAGGAACAGTTTGCAAACTTGCTATTTCCCATGTTCTGGCATAAGGTACAAAATGTGCAGGGTTCATCACTTCTGACATAATCCCCACTGGAAGGGGGGTACCACCAGGGCCAGTACAACCACTCGCTTCTCCCCAGGAATGCTAATTTAACCCTCGCACCAAGCATGCGATCTTTAGCTGGCCAGGCATAAAAAGTCTGGAACTTCAGGGCCAGATCCTTAGCTGGTGTGAAGTCAGTAGAAAGACACTATTTACACTAGCTGAGGATCTGGCCCTCAGTCTCTTGCAGGTTTTCTTTTCTGGCAAAGTGATGAGTATTTCACAAAACTGGCTGTGAGGGGCCTTAATAAAATGCATTGTTTATTTTAACTTCCAGGAGGCACACAATGTCTTAAAGACATCTGCTGAAAATGAAAATGGCATCCACGATGTGGGGATTATTAGAATACATTCTAGGCTGGTAACGTACACATTTCATATCGGAAAGCTCGGGTGCTGTTTTTTCATCTGCAAATACCACGCTGCTTCTTTTTGTTCTCTTCTTGGATCTTCTCAACTTAACCTCAGGTTGAGTGCTTATCTGCAGGACATTTTCTTCTGACTCTGATTTGGTTGGTTTTCGTGGTGCTACTTCCAGTTCAAAGCTGTAGAAAATAGAAATAGAAACAAAACATGCTCCATTATATTATAAAGGCCACCGAAGATCTCAGGTGGTTTCCTGAGACACATAAATGCAGTCATAGTCATCCTTCGTGCTGACTTTCTGAACTGTACTGCAGATCACTGGCAAATGAAGAGCACAGCACTGTGTTCTAGCTGGCAACTGTCTACTAACATGTGCCTCACAGGAGACATCAACATGTCTTAATGTCCAAGAGGTTGTTAAATATTAATCTAAAATGAGCACTTCACATTTTTTGTTGCAGAATTAGCTCTAGGGCACCTAAATTATAGAGGGACAGAGCTAACATCACATTGTGTATTTTACATGGGTGCTGAAAGCAAAATATGTTGCTCTGGTGGCTGGGCACTTTAGGACAGGAGTATTGCCATCCCTTCTCATGCCTCAGGATGTAAACACATCCCCTCTGGCTTCTGGGATTAATTTCTTCAGTCCATTGCAGAGTAACCAGGTACATGGTGATGAGCCGAACTCCCCTACAATCTTTAGGAGGGTGAATGTGGTGGCACAGCCAAGACATGTTTACAGTTGAAATATTGGCCACATTTCATTGAGAGAAACAGCATGTGAAATAATAGGTGGACTTAAACTTTCCCTCTTGAACTCTGGTACAAAAATGTACCTTCCTCAGATTAAATGTGTGACTTCTGAATCAGTGTTTGCAAACAGAGAAAGCCAGGTAAAGTGCTATTGAACTGACTGACACACAGTTGCTAACAGGTATTATTACTTTATTTTATTATGATTATTTTTAATTAAGTCTTTTAGGGTTAAACTCGAAATTGGGAATTGAGCCTGTAAGAAGTAAAGGTGTCTTTTAAACAGCTCCATTTTTGAGTTCTGACAATATTCTCCGGGTGGTGGTGTTTTTTTGTTCAGTCGCTTAGTTTTGTTTTTAAAAACCAAACAATGTAATAATAGTGACCATGTGTAACCAATAACCTATTCAAAGCCAAAGGTTAGAATAATATACAAAGAGATCTGAAACTGGCAGCAAGTTTGTGTATGGAAAAGCTCTCATCTTAGGCACAACTCAAAGTCTAAAAGAGAAACTAGACAAGAACTACATTTAAGGGAGCGTGATGGGGTAAGAGTTATTCTAGTAAGATGAGAGGTTTTACTAAAGAAGCCTCATCTCCTATCTGACCATTTTTAAAACTTCCCTTCCCACATGTACCTCCAACTTGGAGATGGGCAGCTTCTGGAGCTCTACACTCCGCCTCCAAGAGTATGTCTACGAAGTGTGTGGATGCAAGCGTCTCAGCCTGGGTCCATAGACTTGGGCTAGCGAGGCTCATGCTAGCACTCTAGAAATAGCCGTGCAGAGAGCACTTTGAAGTTGCAGCTTGGACTGGAGCAACTCCGCTGTCCAAACAGCTGTTTTTAGAGCACCCCCAAATTTGTCAACTGGGGCTGGGTCCTGCCCAAAAGGACAACAACTATAATAGCCACCAGAGCCCCCTGACACCATTTCCCAGCATGTGTGGAGTCCCGGATTGGGAAAGGAGGAACTAGAAACTCCTGTTGAGGCCAATAGGGAAGCTTCTGCATAGGGTTATCTGGGCAAGCAATCCACTGGCTGGATTGCAGAACCCCCAGCTAGGGGACAGCCTGACTCAGGGAGACAGTTCAGTTTCTGTTTTGGAAGCTGACCCAGACAAATCAGAGACAGGGAGTACCTTGCTAAATTCCCACTCCCCACAAAAGGGGTTCTTTGCACTGCTGTGAGATCTAGCAGTATGGATCAGGGAATTCCAGCACTGCAGTGACCAGCATCCAGCAGAGAGAGAGATCCAACCTGGCACTGGCTATCGAGAGCCAACCAAGACCTCCACAGTATTTCAGACCAGGGAGCCAGTGAGTCTGATAAAAGCCAGAAGAGAACTCTGCCCCACCCAGGAACGAAGACATAGTAAGAGGACCCTTTGTTTATGCTGGCTAACAATTACAGTCATGCAACGCTCTGTTTTAGGACTCAAACTCAGCGTGCCATATGCCTGAGAAGATGCCAGGGATAGAGCTGGTGGCTGGGGATGAGTTATCAGTGTTGTGAGGTGGGAGACTGGTTTATTTGTTAATGTCTAATACTTATTAGTTAACTGTAAGTCTTTCCTTCCCCAGATCCTATTTTCCTATCCCAATGAAGTCACCCTTCGTTATGCCATTATTTTCGTGGTGTCACTCTTTTGCTGGGGTTTCTGTTTATGTACTTTATTACCCCTTGTGTAATGGGCTACACACTCTTTGCCAGCTAGTTGTATTGATTTCCTCAAGAGACAGAACCTCTGTGCCTGGCACAGTGAGGAGACAGTAGTCACCAGAAAAAGCACCCAGCACCTAACCGATGTGAGAAGAGGGGAGAAGTAAATGGAGGAGGCTTGAGCCACACCTCAGGGGAGGGGCTACAAACAAAAATGTAAATCAAACTTACAAACATTATTTTTCAAGCAGAATTTACAAATAAAATAACACCCTCAACTGTTAAATATTTGTGTAATGATATTCAAAAATCACATAAGTGTATTTAAAATTCTCATTCTCATCTTCATCTCAGATGGGCTTTCTAGAGCAGGGGTGGGCAAACATTTTGCCCGAGGGCCACATTGGGGTTGCAAAACTGTATGGAGGGCCGGGTAGGGAAGGCTGTGCCTCCCCAAACAGCCTGGACCCCATCCCCTATCCGCCCCCTCCCACTGCCTGCCCCCTGACTGCCCCCCTCAGAACCACTGACCCATCCAACACCCCCTGCTCCTTGTCCCCTGACCACTCCCTCCCAGAATCCCTTGCCCCTAACCACCCCCCCAGGTCCCCACCCCCTATCCAACCCCCCCTTCTCCCTGTCCCCTGACTTCCCTGACTCCTATGCACACCCCCGCCCCCTGACAGGCCCCCCGGAACCTCCATGCCTACCCCCCCTGTTCCCCATCTCCTGATCCCTAGCCACACCCCTGCCCCCTGACAGGCCCCCCCGGGACTCCCACGTTTATCCAACACCCCCCCCCATTCCCCGTCCCCTGACCACCCCCCCAAACCTCTGCCCCATCCAACCGCCCCCTGCTCCCTGTCCCCTGACTGCCCCCTGGGACTCCCGGCCCCTTATTCAACCCCCCGGCCCCGGCCCCCTTACCATGCTGCTCAAAACAGAATGTCTGGCAGCCGCGCCACCTGGCCGGAGCCAGCCATGCTACCACTCTGCTCGGCAGGAGCATGCTGCTCCGCTGCCCAGCGCGCTGCCTGCGTGGCTGTGGTGGAGGGGGGACAGCAGGGGCCGGGCCGGGGGCTAGCCTCCCGGGCCGGGAGCTCAGGGGCCAGGCAGGACAGTCCCAGGGGCCGGATGTGGCCTGTGGGCCGTAGTTTGCCCATCTCTGTTCTAGAGTATATTATGTTTTTCTCCGGCACATTATGTGAAATAGTACAGCTCACCATCTGGAGTAGCCCTGACTTCAATACAAAGATGATGCTGACATATATAAAGTAATTGCTATTGATCTGACTCCTTGAATAGTTTTCCTGTGGTCTTATGCTTGATCATATGTAACTGGATGAAAACAAGATGTGGTGGTGGAGGCATTTAGTGTGATATTAACGACCTACCTTTCTGAGGCCATTTTGACTGGAGTGCTACAGTCTGAATTCATGGAAGCCAGTGAAATAACTGACATCTGGCGATAAGATCTCAGCATTGACCTCGGCCGACCTACTCTCTTGTCATCGAAATCTGGCTATGAGACAGAAAAGAGAAAAATATACCATGAACAGTTTTTGTGATGCACACTTTATGAGGATGGCACAGATGTTCTAGGAGTGGATTTGGAGGAAACAGTTCATTAACTAAGAAGTGTAACCTCATTACCTTGATTTTGTTTACTCTCCCTGGGAACTCTAAAACTAAGTGGTAGAGTGAGAATAAGTGGTAAGGAGAATTGAGACAGTTTGTTTTATATTTCACACACACACACACACACACAGGTTTTGGCACTGGCTAGTCTCAGACATGATGCAGGGAAGCACGTGTATTGTTTTATCAAATAGCTCTGGCCAATCCTCACTCCAAACTATTTCTCTTATCCCAAGCCTAGATGCTGCCTCCTCTCTACGTTTAAGCTTCTCTTTCTCCCCCCTTGATGTTTTCATGTTGACTGGCTCAGATTCCTCTCCTCCTTGTAACTTGCAGGTTGAAAACAGGTGCAGCATGACAGGCTTGCCAGGTGAGATCAGATCTGGTCACCTTGATTTGCTGTGGTCATGCTGGGTGCTCCATCCATTTCCATTCCTTTAAATCATGCAAATGACATGGCCTGAGATGAGAAGGGGGACATGACTCCAAGTCTCTCTTATTAGCCAAGATTGGTCAATGCAATGGGGAAATTGAACTGACTATTGGCCACTCATCATTCTTCTTTGTGCTTGGGCTGCAGCAAGCTTTCAGCTCATGTGGGGTTTATTTCCATGGCAGTGACTTTGACTTCCTTCTTTCCGGTCCCTCATGCTGGTAGTAGCAGCAAGCTCCATGTTTCTTGGCCAATTCCCAACATAGGTCTAAACAGCAGTGTCTGCTCCCATTCTTGAGGGTTGGATCCAAGGATCCACAATTAAACTGTGTGTTCAGATGTGCCCTCCTCTTTCTCAGCTGAAATATTGCCTCAAGTGAGTTTTGTAAGTGTGAACATTCCCCATTTTAGTTCATCATTGTAATGTCACAGGTTGAGAAACATTTCACAACACATATCCTTTGTGAACTACTTTCCATCCTTCTTTAATAACACAATAATAACTTTAAAAATAAATCCAAGGACCCACCATGTTTGCTAATTACATAATAAAGTTCTTCTGATTGTTCAGATAATGTTCAATCCATTTGGAAATTGGTGTATAATCTCATATGCTAGACTCCCCAACTGTTGGTTTCTGATGCTATCACTTTTCACTAAGACAGTTTCCTCTAGCAAGAGGATCAGAAAACCCATTTATAGTTCCAAAGTTTATTTTCAAACACTTTTCACAGTTTATGTGCAGTGAGAATTGCCTCTCATCCTGTGAGCTCCCAGAGTGCTGTGATAACACACAATGGGTGCAGCCACCTTTTAAATAGAAAAAGCTCGCACCAGCAGCCTGAAAGAGAATTAGGGATGATAACGCTGAAATGGCGCTCCATTTCAAACTAACTGGCTTTTCTGTATGTGATAAAATGGATGAAATACTGCTATCCACCAACTTTATTAATTTATGAGAAACTTCTTGAGCAATGATAAAATAATGTGCTTTGCTGCATAGCGTATCTTTGAATAGAACTGTATTTTGTAACAGCACATTACATAATTTTGAAACATGCTAAACCTCAGCTCAGGAAGGCAGCCCAGAATGAGTAAGGGGGAGATTTGCATTTAAAGAGCTATTTCATATATGTATAATGAAAATATGTTCCCAAAAGTCTGGATCAAGGCAGAGTTGACACACTATGTATTTTCACCTATCTCGGTTCACTTGTAAATTAAGCATTGTAAGCCCACAAAATGGAAGCTCTATTTACATACAAAGTCAACAGAGACAAGGAGAATGAATGACGGGGTTGTCCTATCTCTGGGGAATTTAAGACATCCCTTTATCCTGCACCTAGGAAGTAAATGGTCAATGCATTTACATTCATGAAAATGGGATCCCAACCAGCCTTGGTTGGAAATGCTGCAAAAGGGCATTTCGATTGAGCTGAACTTAGACTGAAAGTTTAGTCTCTAGAAAGCGTGTTGTGATTTTGTTTTCTATGTAACCTTTCTGTCTCCATTATCATTACTCACTATCTCTTAAATCTTGATACTGAACTTATTGTTTTCACTGTAAACATATTTCAGTGCTGTGGTATTATCTAAGGAGCTGACCCTGGATTGATATGTTCAAGTTGGTGTGTATATTGTTCCCTTGCAGACCACATACCTGGTATCACTGTGAGTATTCAGTGGATAAGGGACTGAACGTTACAGAAAGATGTTTCAAAGGGGCTCAGGGACAGGGGTGCACCTATTGTTAACCTGCAAGGCAAAGCAAGGGCATAGCCCACAGGAGATTGTTAGGGTGGCTAACAGACTGGAGGGGCCAGGGAGTGGACACTCAGTTAAGCACAAGCAAGTATCTCTCTCACTGGAGGCAGGGGGAAACAATTGACTCTCCGTGCTGGGCATCCCGAAAACTGTCATAACTGTATACTGTGTAGGCCAGGGATTGGCAACCTTTGGCACATGGCACGCCAGGGTAAGCACCCTGGCAGGCCAGGCCGGTTTGTTTACCAGCCGCGTCCTCAGGTTCGGCCGATCGTGGCTCCCACTGGCCGCAGTTCGCCGCTCCAAGCCAAAAGCGGCGCGGGCCAAGGGATGTGCTGGCCGCCACTTCCCGCCGCCCCCATTGGCCTGGAGCGGCGAACCACAGCCAGTGGGAACCGCGATTGGCCGAACCTGCGGACGCGGCAGGTAAACAAACCGGCCCGAACCGCCAGGGTGCTTACCCTGGTGGGCCGTGTGCCAAATGTTGCCGATCCCTGGTGTAGGCCATGGGGATTCTGTCAAACTATGAAAGGCTTGGAAAGGAAATCTTAGTGTGGAGAAGGAGAGGGGGTTAGTCACAAAAGCAGTACGTTCTATTCTTGCTCTTGTCAAATAAAAATCATACATAGGTTACTCTTTACTTTTACAAAAGTTGATCTAAATGGCTGTTGAAGGTTTCAACATTTGGCTAGATTGTGAACATTGGGTTACATCTCTTTCCACATTGAGTCTGCCTCCAGTTGACTGAATTATAGGAAAGATATTGACATAAATGGCTGGAATTGGCATTATTCAGGAATATACCATAGGATGATGCCCAGGCTGTAGGGGAGAAGTTTTTTTTCCCAGTATAACAATTGAATCAACACATAAAAAATAAAAAATGAATATATAGCAGGAGCAGCACAATTTCAATCCCCAAATGACAGGGCTCTACTTTCTAACACCAACAAACAACTCAACTAATGTTCAGATATTTAGACTTGTTTTGCTCCCAGAGTTATCTGGGAATAGAAGTAGAGTCACATGGTTGGAATCAGACAAGGGCAGGGAGCTATCTATGGACAAGTGTGGATCAGAGCTACTAAAAAATATTCCAAAGAGAAAAAAATGTGTCATGGCATGTTGTCAGAGGGCTTGTTTCTTTATAATATGAAAAAGAAATGCAAGTTTAACAGAGATAGGGAAGGATTCCAAATCTCAGAATGGGGGATGTTTGGTGCAACAGGGAACTAATAAACTACTCTGACTGTAAGATTCAGGTCATGGTGCCTTCACATCACAGGACCACCCTAAGTAACCAATATGCAGGAGGCACTTTTGATTACAGGAAAAGTACAGGGCATACACTAAATAAAGGGAAAGTGAAGCAGAGAGGTGAGAAATAAGTAGAGAGCCTTACCAATTCTCTGACTCCATATTGTTTTTCTACTTTGATCTTTAAGTGCTTGAAACACTCCTCCATACGGTCGTGGAAAGGACGAAGGTTATCAGAAACCCTTTTTTCATGAATCTTAATTCCAGCCCCAAGGAAAGGTATCTTGGATAAAATAAAAAGCAAGAATATTAAACTGGATCTGCCAAGCCCCCTCCCTCCATTTACAGAATCTGCCAAGTCAACTGGAAAACCATTACTGAGGGCTGGTCTACACTGCCGCGCTAGTTCGGCGGCTGGGGATCGAAGTTCCGAGTTCGATTTATCGCGTCTGGTCTGGACGCGATAAATCGAACCAGGAAGTGATCCCCGTCGACTGCGGTACTCCAGCTCAACGAGAGGAGTACCGCGGAGTCGACGGGGAGCCTGCCTGCCGCGTGTGGACCGCGTCTGAACCACGGTAAGTTCGAAGTAAGGTATGTCGAATTCAGCTACGCTATTCACGTAGCTGAATTTGCGTACCTTACTTCGACTTGGGGGGTAAGTGTAGACCAAGCCTGAGACTTGTAATAGATTTGTCAGCTGGAATAGATTTGTCAGCCCCAGGAACTGGGAGAAGCAGGTAGGCAGCTTGCTGCAAATTGGAGAGGGCTTCTGAAAAGCCAGCTTGCTGGGTAAACTGTTGGAGCAGGCTGCCTGAGTGGGCTACTTCATGGTGATGGAGGGTTTTTTTTTTTTTCCCCCCCTCCATATTCTGAGATTTGGATATACCCTGTGAAAGAATCGGAGAAAATCCCTGGCTTTGCTCACAGAAACAGCATTGAGAGTTCAATTGTGTGCACTCACGTGACTTGTCAAAGGGAGATTTGGTTATCTCAAATACTAATCCATCTACTAACAAAGGCACTTGCCATTTCTTGAAGACTGAGTGTAGACAGAAAGGTTGATCCATTTGATCTAAATGGCTGTCACACGCCAAGCTTCCAAATCCTAACTTTTCTTGGAAACCCATCATTCTGTGTCTTTGGGACTGCCAGTGATTTAAGCCAGGGGATCTTAAGTCTATCTGTTCAGTTAGAAGAAGAGAGGTGCAGGCAGCCATTCTCTCAGAGATAAACAGGCCTCTCCATCCCAGTTCACCAAGACAACATCCTCTCTTCATTTAAATCCCACATGAAATCCCTTAAATTATGTGTCGCAACACATAGCAAGTTACTTTACCAGAAAATAAATACTAAATATACTACCTAAATGTGCTCAGAATGAAGCAAACATCATCTTATTACTGTGATCCTTCTCCTCTGCCTCCCCACTTTCTTTGTTACATTCTTACACTAGACTATATGATCTCCAGGGTAGGGACTGTATCTCTCATCTCTAGCTGTTTTGTAAAGTGCCTGGCACATTTTTGGGTACTGTATAAATAGGGCCCTACCAAATTCACAACCATGAAAAACATGTCATGGACCATGAAATCTGGTCTCTCCCACTGTGAAATCTGGTCTTTTCTGTGCTTTTACCCTATACTATACAGATTTCATGGGGGAGATCAGCATTTATCAAATTAGAGGTCCTGACCCAAAAGGGAGTTGCGGGAGAGGTCGCAGGGTTATTTTAAGGGGACTGCAGTATTGCTACCCTTACTTCTGCGCTGCCTTCAGAGCTGGGTGGCTGGAGAGTGGCAGCTCTTGGCCAGGCGCCCAGTTCTGAAAGAAGCACCCTGCCAGCAGCAGTGCAGAAGTAAGGGTGGCAATACCATACCATGTTGTCCTTACTTCTGTGATGCTGCTGGGGGCAGTTCTGCCTTCACAGCTGGGTTTCCGGCCAGCAGCTGCCGTTCTCCAGCTGCTCAGCTCTGAAGGCAGTGCCAGTGCCAGCAGCAGTGCAGATGTAAAGGTAGGAGTACCGCAACCTGCCCTACAATAACCTTGTGACCTCCGCACAACTCCCTTTTGGGCCAGGACCCCTACAATTACAACACCGTGAAATTTCAGATTTAAATAGCTGAAATCATGAAATTTATGATTTAAAAAATCCTATGACCGTGAAATTGACCAAAATGGACCATGAATTTGGTAGGGCCCTATATATAAACAATAGTAAACAAGTATAGCCATGCAGTGAAACTAGCCCGCTCTTCTCCCCAACTGTGAGGGCACCTACTTGCTCCTGAGTTCTTTAAGAAGGCTATTTGTGAGATTTATTCACTATACTTTTAACTATCCTATTGCAAATAATCTATTGGTAATGCGGCAAAAACCTTATAGCTAGTTCTAAGTAATGCATTGTTTTTTGCATTATCCACTTACATTTTTAGGTTTCATGTATTGTGTTATGACCCTGTAAATAGCATTAACATATATAAAAATATCCTTATTGATCTCATATTTTATGGAAGTTCATTCTCAGCCTGCCTCTTAGAAGTACCTCTGTTATGGACAATCTGCTGATCCTCTCCTGGGGGACTAACAAGGAAGTGTCTGAATCACAGTTCTGGGGCCTAAGGGCATTGTATTAAATAAAGACGAACCACAAAAGCTGCAATTTTGTAGTGCAATCTGGGGCATCCATTAAGTGTTTCAGACTGTCAATAAGGGAGAAGAACACTGTGCAGATGGTGTGGGGTATCCAGGAGACAAATCTGTGAAATTTGGTGACCATCAGTTATGGCAAGCCCGAAAACCAGAGCAATTAAAATTCAACAAGATGCAGTGGAGGAAACTTATTTGGAAGCTTCATTTGTGATTAAAGACAGGAACTGATAGTTAAGGCTTGCTGCCTCCTTATCTGTCCAATGGAGATAATGCTTCCCTTCCTCACAGGGGTGTTATGAACCACATTTCACGAACACGTGTGAGCTGTTCTGATAATACAGTGATGGGAAATATATTAGGGTTACCATATTTGAACATTGAAAAAAGAGGACACTCCACGGGGCCCCGGCCCCACCCCAACTCTGCCCCTTCCCCTCCCCCGGCCCCACCCCTTTCCCTGCCCCCGGCCCCACCCAACTCCGCCCCTTCCCTGCCCCCATTCCAACCCCTTCCCCAAAATCTCCGCCCCCTCCCCTGAGCGCCCCACATTCCCCCTCCTCCCTCCCAGCCACACAAAACAGCTGCACCAATTCTAGAGTGAGGCACTCCACTAGTGTAGACTCCCGGACGGGGGTTTGATTGCCGAAAAGCCGGACATGTCCGGGAAAAAACGGACGTATGGTAACCCTACCATTACACTATCTTCTGCCTGATGTTTACCTACAAGCTCATTGAACAAGCTGGTTATTTCAAACACTTCAGCTTGTTTTTATCAGATCCTTTTCTTGAGTTGTATCAATCTGATTACTGATCTCTCCCATCTGCTGAAGTTGCTCCCACAAAGGTCACCCAAGCAATAAAAGGAGACCGCCTTCTCCTCATTGTTCCACCACAACAAATATGCTTGTAGGGAACATTCCCTCTTGATACCCCTAAGGTGAACTCCAGGGAATCTGGGGCAAATCATGCTAAGCGCTGGGTCTTCACCTTTTCACCCACTAGAAAAATTTAAGTCCAAGGCAGACCACTTTCAGGGAAAAGTGTAAGACACATCTCTTTTTCTAGGTTTTCCAATAATTACATCCCATTTGCATTGCAACCAGGACCTTCCTTTTTCTTCTGTTTAAGCAAGTTAGGAAGAAAACTTATCTCTTCTAGGTTTTTCTCTTTTAAAAAGTCCACGTGGTCTTCCAGGCACAAGCCCAAGACACTACTCACTTTATACTATTTGAAGGCTGCCTTTTTCCCCCCAGTTTTTCCTTCTCTTTCTGTTTCCATCATTCAAATCCAGATCTGATGGCTCCAGCCTTTGTGGACTGCTTTGGTAAGCCCCCCCTGCCTCCGGACCCCGAGCCGCCGGCCAGGCACTTCCCTTCCCGGGCTCCAGCTGAGCTGCTCCGCTCCTCCCCTCTCAGACTTTAAGAGCCGAGCTGCCCGAGCCAGCGCTACCGGCTTCGGGCAGCCCCCCTTGCCTCCGGACCCCGAGCCGCCGGGGCCGGGTAGGAGAAGTGCATGGCCGGCGGCTCGGGGTCCGGAGGTGGGGGGGCTGCCCGAAGCCGGTAGCGCTGGCTCGGGCAGCTCGGCTCTGAAAGTTTGAGAGGGGAGGAGCGGAGCAGAGCAGCCGTGGGAGAGGAAGTGCCCAGCTGGCATTTTCCCAGACATGTTTGGCTTTTCGGCAATTCCCCCCGGATGGGGGTTTGATTGCCGAAAAGCCGGACATGTCCGGGAAAAACCGGACGTATGGTAACCCTAAAATATATGGCAGGCTCTATAGTAGAAAGAGGGATATACAGGACATATCAAAAGAAATCTAGAGTCACACATTACTGGTGAGAGGATTCCTGTCTAATGAATAATATTTCCCAGCCATCCACGTTAGGGGAAAAAAGGAACCCAGTGGTAGGATTTGAGATATTTAAGAATCACTAGCATATTTTAATATTGAGCATGAACTTAATGTAATGATTTTTATGCCTATTCTGTTCATAGCAAATATATTATATTTCTCTTTCATTCATGTTGTTTACATTTCAGAGCAGGGAGGGGAGGTGTTTACAAATAGCGGTGGTTATAGATTCGCAGAGAAATTTAAAATGAAGCTTTTCTATCCCACAGTCACTCTGTGTCCCAGATACAGTTTTGTAGCAGCATTAACTGTTTTGACAAGATCATAAAAATAGCTCTGATATTTCCTGAAGTCATGGGGTTTTTTTTCTCCTCTTTGTAGCACCAAATAGTTTAGAACAATAAAGAGAGCTATTTTCCCTTGAATCTCATCAAAACTGATGTTGCTTTTGTGATACCGTCTACAGTAGATATGTTTTATTCTTTGAGAACAAGGGGAAGCCGCAGGTTGGGTAGCTTATCAAAGCACACTTTAAAAATAAGAAAGAAATAGCTGGAATGTAGCTGGCGCAGGTAGAATATTCTGTCTTTTCTCTAGAGAGATCAACCTTATAAAGTATTGACTACCACTCTTCTATGCTGTTTGTGGAGCTGAGTGTTGCATAAGGATGTGCAGCAGCAATCATGCACATGATATGGGGCATGTACTGCCAGGCCCCTAAGCAACACAAAATTCCATTGAAGTTTTTGACTCCAAAAAAAGTATGACAAGCAATGAATGTTTAAAATGAGTGAGGAAAGCTAAAAATGAAAGTGAACTGTTTTCTAACATTTATAGGTTCCCCTTCTCCCATCAACTTGTGAAGCCCCTTATGGTCTTCTTACACTTTCAGTTTTGTCTCCAGGGCCGTCTGCTAGAGTTTAAGATCTTACCCAGTAGCAATAAGGGTAGCTCCTTTTGTGTGAATTTTATGCAAACAATTCCAGAGATATGCTGGAGGGGGTAGCTCTGTGGCCTATTGTTAAAGCTCTGCCCTCAACCTGTATGGAGGTTGTCAGGTGATTTTTCCGAGTCTGGTGGTGTTTCACCCACCCCTCTCCAGACACTGCTAACCAGTCCCTCCTCAAAATAAAAAAGTACTCTGCAGGAGGAAATGTATTCAATTTGGAATGGATCAAATCTCACAAAAATGACAGCCTCTTCTTTATTTTTTAAATAACTATCTCTAGATCCCCTACAAAGTTTTATCTGCACCACTCCATTTCAGAAGATAACAACTCTTGGCTGTGTAATTTGATCCAGCATCTCAGTAAGTTTGTCAGTAAAGCAGATTTCCAGTTATATATGTTAACATTTGCCAAGTGGTGTAAGCCTCCTTTTGTGTTTGAGAGAGCATTTTTGCCTGAATAGGTTCAAATTAATACCTCTCATACCTCCTCTCTGCAATACCACATGTCCCCAGGACAGGAGATTTATCACAGGGTAAAGGGACCATTTTAGTACAGTGTTTCTCGAACTGGGGTCGCCGCTTGTGTAGGAAAAGCCCCTGGCGGGCCGGGCCGGTTTGTTTACCTGCCCTGTCCGCAGGTCCGGCAGATCGCGGCTCCCACTGGCCGCGGTTCACTGCTCCAGGCCAATGGGAGCTGCTGGAAGCGGCGTGGGCCGAGGGACTTACTGGCCGCTGCTTCCAGCAGCCCCCATTGGCCTGCAGCGGCAAACCACGGCCAATGGGAGCCGCGATCGGCCGGACCTGCAGACGGGGCAGGTAAACAAACCGGCCCAGCCCGCCAGGGGCTTTCCCTACTCAAGCGGTAACCCCAGTTTGAGAAACACTGTTTTAGTAGGAATCCACTGTAAAAATCTTTGGTAATGTAGCACCAAGCCAATCTGTTAGTTTCTAGCTATAATGTTGATTTTTTTTCCCCTTTTAAAAAAGCAGGAGAGGGAAACATACAAATAAAAACGACAGACCCATTTAAGTCACATTACACTCTCCCAACGGAAAGAAAACTGATAAATGGAAAAAAGGAATAGCCAGGTAAACCTCAGAAAATTGCTGCCAGTATGGCATTACCTGCCAAGCAATCAGGTCTTTGAGTCGGTTCAGCTTCTCTTGATCCTCTGGATGGTCTTTGGCATACTCATCGGTGAAGAAAGCCTGCAAGGGGCATGTAAATCATTCAGTCCTTAACACGAAAAGGAATCAATGCTTTCTCCAGCGTGAGTCACTGATCACTATAGAACTCTATCTCTAATCGAATGATAAGACATCCACTTTCCTCTAGAGCAGCCGCTTGTGGTGATGCTTTATTAATAAACCAATTGAGGATCAAAAGGCATTTTTATTTGTTCAAATATTTTCAGTGTCCATTTAACGCATTTGAGCTCAGGACCACCATCTTGAAAAGCCAACCTCTTGTTTTCAAGTTTAACTAACACTTACTTCAGTTAGGGGTACCAAGTATTTGGAGTGCCATAATTTATCCATCAATGAATGGTGCCCTTTTTTGTTGTTTAGCTAACATAATTGCACCTCCTGGATGATCAGTTAGATAAGAGTTAAACTTTTCCACCTACCGCTATAGGACACAGATGCAATTCATAACTTTAGCCATTACTCACAGCACCTGTGATACATGGGGGGAGGGGAGGAGTAGCTCCCTTTGATGGACACCCAGCCAGCCAGTTAGCTGTAAAATCCCTCTTGGTCTGTTCAAAGGGAGCTACTCCCACCCCTTCATGTATCACAGCACCTCTTTCTGAGCCCAAAGTAAAGGTAGTAAGTAAACAAGCAGCTGTGTTATGACAGATTGCCTCACTGCAGGTCTGGTGAATATAATGCAGATGAATGCCTTTTTGAAATGATTTAGAGACCTTCCAGGACATGTATAGGTTTGGACAGAGAGGTTTGGATTGCTTGGGAATATATGAAGATAGAGACCGGATACTGGACTAGATGGCCTGATAGAAGCCAGCACTAGATGTTCACATGAAGGTGCAAGAGCACCACAGATATGTGATAATTAAGTCTCATTGTTATCTCTAATGGAGATTGTCTTAAGCCTTGATGCGTGAGATTTAATATCCCTTCCAAAATTTTTGTTATGAGGCTGTCTTGGAATTATTGTCTTCAATAACTGAGTTCCTTAAGGGGCTGCGTCTCCATGTACCCTGTTGTTCTAACAAAATACATTTCTTTACAACAAAAACTGCCTTGTAAAAGGCTGCAGTTACTGGAAAAAGTAGTTAACAAGGTAAGAGATTTACTAACTCTGAGTCTGCTAGACTGCTAGAAGAAGAACTTGCGATGCTTTACCCCAGACCAAACCAGTTGAGGCATGGAAGGCTATTTCATTAGAACATGTGTAATCATACCCTCCCATATCACATTTACAAGGAAACCTCCATGCCTGCAATTAATTTTGAGCATCAGTCCTACATCCATGTTAGAGTCAACTTTTAAAGGAGACTAAGTCAGACGTGACCAGATTCTGAGGATCTTCAAATTAATGAGGTTCATCCTTTCTTTGTCCCCATCCTACTATCTCCCACCGCAGTTTTTTGACAATCACTAAGCAAGCAGAAACAGAGCTATCATCATTACTGAGAATAGAAAAATCTATGAAGATGATCTTAAAGCTATTAAAATCATTACCTTTTCATATTTAGCAAAGCCTCCCATGACGGCTGGATCAACAATTCCATTCAGAAGCATGGAGAGAGGGTTAATGGGAAGATTTTCATCACTCTGGTACTGGTTAATCATCATCAAAATTTTCTCATTTGTCATGGACATTGTCTCAATGGCATTCTCCAGTGGACTAATGGTTGCCTATGAAATAAGAGGAGGAATGTTTAATGTGTCTATTTGATTTAATTGAACCACTCATGCTGACTTCTAAAACTTCCTTGGCCTCCTGCTAAACCAGTGTCCAACAGGATTAGATGACTCCACATAGGGATCAGGTGTGCTTTTCAGCCAGCTCACAAGAATGCTGCACAGATATAGATCCATTGTGTAATATCTCCTGTGCTTTCTATTCTTGTTCTGAGAGCACTGAGGAAGTGCAAATATTTTTCAAAGTGAACAGTTTTAATAATATGTGTGTGTAGAGGAGAGGTGAAGGGGAGTGAAGAACTAACCCATCACAGCAGAGCTCTGAGAAAAAAATCATTCTTCTATATCTTTTGTGTATTTTTATGCAATCCTCTCCTCAGGACATCTGAATAAAAAACAGGATTAGGGTTTCTAAAGAATACTTCCACTACTGTTGCATATTCCACCTCTGAATTCATAATCCCCTTGTATATGCCTCTGAAATTATAATCAATAGCAAAGTAACCAAATGAAATGTCACAAACAGAAGATTATGACTTCAGGTGAAGAATAGCAGCAGGAGCAAATGAACTCCTAGGAAACCAAGATGTTGCTTTCATGCAGTTGTCTTTTGTAATCAAGAACAAGGGAAAAGAAAATATAAGAAAAGGAAAAAACATAAAGTAGAACTCGTTAGTGATTTCTTGCTCTAGCAGGACATGGTTTTTTGAAATGCAGGCTCCCAGCACTGAGGAATGAAATATTCAAGGGAGTAACACAAACATCATATTGTATCATAGATGATGAATTTCTCTAACATCTGTTGACACTCCCCCCCTCCTTGGTCATTTTCATTTCTTAGATAAAAACATAATGGGTTTGATGTCTGTGCTAGAACTAATGTAACAGCATCAGGTCTCTCAGAACAAGATCTGTCATTGTCTGCATTCATGTGGCAGTGAATTGGGTTCTGTCAAAACAGGGAAGAGTAAGAGAAAAGCTGATATTTTTCTATATCTTATTTATAGCCAGCAGCACATCTGTTCTCTCTCTTGTTGCAGGGTTTGTGGGAGAGCTGGCTACCATCAGAAAAAGATGGACATTGTGCCAATGCTCAAAGTGGGACAGGAGGCGCAGAGATGCACTTATAGTCATGTTGCCTGAGAAGAAAGGAGGCAAATAGGTGATCACACAGTACCATGTTCCCCTTCTAAATCTGGTACAGCACTGTGCTCCCTTGTAAGATCAGAATGTAGATGGGGTTATCTGTTATCATGGCAGTAAAAATCCACCAAGATATGTTTTGCTCCTTTAGCCACTTGTTGGTTATATAGAAAGTAACACTATCGGTATAAATAGCTATTTAACCTTAGATATATGGGAGACGAAGGGCTAATGCTTAAGACAAATCCCAGTTTAGGAACCTCTTGGGTCTCTGTCCAGCCCCCACAGTATTCTCCTGCTGGTAATTTAGATGTACTGTAACAGGTGCAAATTAAATAGTTGCTTCTTAGGGCTTGTCTGCATGGTGTAGCTAAGCGCACTAGAGGGATGTAAATTCTTGTGTACCAAACATTTTGGCATGCTAGCCGGTCTGTGTAGTCCATGTTGGGTTGCACTAAAAGCTCCCCAGTGTGCATTAGTGTAGTACTGTCTCAGTGAGATCAGATTATTAGATAAATGCTAACTCTCTCAACGGTACTAAGTTAATGCGCATTAGGTAATTTTTAGCGCACACCAGAAGGGTCTACAAGGGCTAATTAATATGCAACACAGCAGTGTGCTTTAGAATTCAACTCCTCTAGTGCTCATTGCTGTACTGTGTAGACAAGCCCCTAGTTAACTTAATGTTGATTTAAGCCTTAAAATTTCAAGACAGTGGTGTTGCATGTATAATGGCATCGGCATATGTGACCCTTCACAGACAGATAAAAGAGAAGGTCCCTGCCCCAAGGAGCTTCAAGCCTCCAGTAGACAAATGATGTACTGGGAGATGACAAGAGGAAGGGGAAGGAGAAGAGACCATATAAAAGAAAGAGAAAAGCAAAACTGCTCTTGGGGAGGGCATCAGTATTCACAGAACTCAGGTCATTTCTATGGCTTTGTTCAGTGCTCTTTAGGTCGTTATTCGATGATGGGGTTCAAGACCATGTGGCACCTGAATAGATGATACTGATGGAACGCTAACAAGGGAGTTTTGATAAAGGATATGAGGAAGAAAGGGAGGCTGTGCCGGGGACAGGAGGGATTGTTAAAAAAAGATGGACTGGTGTGGAGCAGACAAGGGGAGCATTAAAGAGGAGAATGGGTAGTACACAGGACCTGAGCAATGTGGCTCTGGAACAGGAGGAAAATGGAGATTAGAGTCAGGTAATATGGGACAAAATATATTTGCTCTTTTTTGGGGGGTAAAAGCTCTGAATAGAAATAATTTTAGGGAAAAATTAATTAGATACAGGTTTGAACCCCTAACATCAGCTCTCCCAACAGTCCTAGTTTTCATGGCACTGTCCCATGGTCAGCCCCAGAACCCCCTGTGCCCGTTGAAGTGAAAATTTCCCACATTCAAGTCTGCCCAGGGGAAGGAGCCATTTGTTTGCCCCAGGCCCTCCATTTGAGAAGGTCCCCAAACTGAGTGGCATTGCAACCTGGAGCACGGGGTCACAGTGCCACTCAAGTCTGGCCCATCAGCTTCTCTATCTCCATCTACGGAGGGGCAGACAGGCCAAACATGAGTGGTGCTGTGTCTTGCTTTAGCCACATGAAATACTGGGAGGTATGTTAATACTGCAGTTTATGCATAAAAACAAGAAAGAGAAACTAATGATCTTATTTTTATTCTCAAAAATGAATGACATGCAAAAAAAAAAAAAAGCCCTCCATAAATGGTAAAGGCAATTAGATTTTATTTTTCTTTGTAATACTTTAGGGTGTTGCTATTAACATACATAAGGAAAATTTTCTTTTAAGAATGAATTTTAATTTGACAGTCTCATACTCACATCTCTATACTTGGTTATAAATATAAGTTGCCAAGGAAATATTTTTAAAATGCAGTTTTTCCTGAAGGCAAAACCTTTGTGGGGATTTTACAATATGATCCTAATATGTTGATGAATGTGACATATAAGAAGGAAACCTGATAATATTTAGAATTGGCCTATATACAGTATATAATATTTAAATATAATACTCTGAAATGTACATTCAGAGTTCTGTGAAATTCAGCCATTTACATTCAAATTATTTTAGTCAAATTATTTACAGTTCACAGGGCTGCAACTCAAACAAAATCACTAAGTTTTCTGCATGTTTCCATCTCAAAATAAATAGCCATTCCTTTGCACTACTGAAAAATGGGTTTGTCTAGAGTTGAGCCCCAGCTAAAACTTTTCAATGAAGCTGGCCAGACTTTGGGGTCCATAGGTTTTCCAAGTATTAAATCTCCTGTGTTCTTTTAGGCTATAAAAGCTATGCTTGGCTAAGCAATGGAATTCCAATTCCTGACTGTTAATAACCACCTGAGTTGTACTTTATAAAATTTATAGAACACTCAAGATGTAGAGATTTTAACTTGCTGTGATAGTTCTAATATGGGTCTGAAGCAGCAATAAAAACTTCACATTCCATTTCTGTGCAGCTGGCTGTATTAATCAGGGCTTCCATTTGGCTTTGAGCAGGCCTTCTGTGGAATGGACTGATGTTCCTTTCCCCTGAATCAAGCTCTTATATCCTTCATAGGCCATATTTCCTTTAGCAGCACATTTGAGATCCTGGATCTGAAGCGATGTCTAGTTTTATGGTCAATGGGATTTTTAATGGATCAAATTAAAAAAAAAAACTGTTAAGGCAGCAGGTTAGGAAGAGGGGCAACTCTCTTCCCCTCCAAGTGCTTTTTCAGGCTTCATGTCAGATATTTCCTAACGGTCCTGTCTCTTTTAGTGCATCTACATGTGTGTATTCCAGTGATGCTCAGGAGCCAAATTAGTGATCAACATCACCTAAAAGAGCCACAGTCGTGTGAATTCATTATTTCATTTACTATTTTATATATATTATTCTCACAGCAAAATGACTGAGCAAGTATTCTACAATTGGTTAATAACATAGTAAAAGCATCCTGAATAGTTAATGACTTAGATTGGTTAATAATTAAATCCCACAGTGGGTTAATACCACATGCTGCAAGGAGCCACAGGAGACACATTCAAGAGCCACTTGTGGCTCCTGAGCCTCAGCCTCACTATCGCTCGTGTATTCATTTTGTGGGGATTGGCGAAGTTCCCTGTGCTACACTGAACTAATTCCCAATTTCCCAGACTGGTTTACTGCAAGTAACGAGAAGACAAGGAGTCTGTTGAGTAAGAGGTGCCTATTGTTCCTTCTATTCTTTTTTTATTTTTTGACAGAGGTGGCTCCTGAAGAAAGGAAGTGACCACTTGTATAGTAAAGGCAAAAACATGAGGGGTATCTGAACAATAATTTTAAAAATTGTCGAAATTCTTTTAGTGGCCATAAATTGTAAGTTTTATGTGCATTTTATGAAAATATCAGAGGGATACCTCTGAGAACTTATAATTTTCATATTACCAAAGGGGATACTATTATCACATTTTATGATAAGTCACCACCACAGGGATTTCCTTCAGATGATCTCAGATCACCAGTGTCAATTCAAGGGGACTGTAATAAATATGATGTTGAGAACTACTTTTGTGCAATTACAGCAGATAAAAACTGAAATAAAGTACAAATAATATTGACAAACTCCTCAAAACAAGGAAGGTCAGAATCAGTAAAACTGAAGGAATCTCAAATTATTTTTGTACTAGCAATTGCCAGCACTTCTTTGGCCCATCATGTACCAACAATTCCTCAGAGCTTGAATATACAGACACTTTATGTGCAGCAAGCCAGGGTGTAAATCTGGAGGAGCCTGCTACCTTGTGCTAACACTACAGAACTATTAGTGCAGGGTCCAAACGGCCAGTTAGTGTTTGGAAAGCTAGTGTGCTTGTAAATTTACACTCTGGCTTGCTGCACACTGTATGTCTGTGTAAATAAGCCCTCACTCCTAAAGCCAAGAAGCTTGCCCATGATCACTTGAATGTATTTTTTTAAGACTATCTATCCTTTTGTCAGGGAGTCTCAGGACAGTACCTTACCATATGAGTTGTAATCTTTAACCACCGCAGGGCTGAGCTGTCAGTCATTTCAATGTATTGAATTTGTGGCGATCGGGGGAGGTCCCGGACGATTGGAAAAAGGCAAATATAGTGCCCATATTTTAAAAAAGGGAAGAAATATAATCCAGGGAACTACAGACCGGTCAGCCTCACTTCAGTCCCTGGCAAAATCATGGAGCAGGTCCTCAAAGAATCCATTTTGAAGCACTTGGAGGAGAGGAAGGTGATCAGAACAGTCAACATGGATTCACCAAGGGCAAGTCATGCCTGACCAACCTGATTGCCTTCTATGATGGGATAACTGGCTCTGTGGCTATGGGGAAAGTGGTGGATGTGATATATCTTGACTTTAGCAAAGCCTTTGATATGGTCTCCCACAGTATTCTTGCCAGCAAGTTAAAGTAGCATGGGATTGGATGAATGGACTATAAGGTGGATAGAAAGCTGGCTAGATTGTCGGGCTCAAGGGGTAGTGATCAACAGCTCGATGTCTAGTTGGCAGTTGGTATCAAGCAGAGTGCCCCAGGGGTTGGTTTTGTTCAACATCTTTATGAATGATCTGGATGATGGGATGAATTGCACCCTCAGCAAGTTCGCAGATGACACTAAGTTGGGGGGAGAGGTAGATACGCTGGAGGGTAGGGATAGGGTCCAGAGTGACCTAGACAAACTGGAGGACTGGGCCAAAAAAAATCTGATGAGGTTCAACAAGGACAAGTGCAGAGTCCTGCACTTAGGAAGGAAGAATCCCATGCACTGCTACAGGCTGGGGACTGACTGGCTAAACAGTAGTTCTGCAGAAAAGGACTTGGGGATTACAGTAGACGAGAAGCTGGATATGAGTCAGCAGTGTGCCCTTGTTGCCAAGAAGGCCAACGGCATATTGGGCTGCATTAGTAGGAGCATTGCCAGCAGATCGAGGGAAGTGATTATTCCCCTCTATTCGGCACTGGTGAGGCCACACCTGGAGTACTGCGTTCAGTTTTGGTCCCCCCACTATAGAAGGGATGTGGACAAATAGAAGACAGTGTAGCGGAGGGTAACAAAAATGATTAGGGGGCTGGGGCACATGACTTACAAGGAGAGGCTGAGGGAACTGGGGTTATTTAGCCTGCAGAAGAGAAGAGGGAGGGGGGATTTGATAGCAGCCTTCAACTACCTGAAAGGGGGTTCCAAAGAGGATGGAGCTAGGCTGTTCTCAGTGGTGGCAGATGACAGAACAAGGAGCAATGGTTTCAAGTTGCAGTGGGGGAGGTCTAGGCTGGATATTAGGAAACACTAGCAGGATGGTGAAGCACCGGAATGGGTTACCTAGGGACAGGGCCGGCTCCAGGGTTTTTGCCGCTCCAAGCGGGGGGGGGGGGGGGGGGGAGGTGGGGAAAGCCGCGATCGTGATCGGCGGCAGCTCCACTGCGCCGCTTTCTTCTTCGGCGGCAGGTCCTTCCCTCCAAGAGGGACCGAAGGACCCGCCACCGAATTGCCGCCAAAGAGCCGGACGTGCCGCCCCTTCCCCTTGGCTGCACCAAGCACCTGCTTGCTGCGCTGGTGCCTGGAGCCAGCCCTGCCTAGAGAGGTGGTGGAATCTCCATCCGTAGAGATTTTTAAGGCTCAGCTTGACAAAGCCCTGGCTGGGATGATTTAGTTGATGTTGGTCCTGCTTTGAGCAGGGGATTGGACTAGATGACCTCCTGAGGTCTCTTCCAACCCTAATATTCCATGATTCTATGATTATACTAAAGTAGAGATTCTGTCAAAATCTGGTAGAAAAATTGTCAGGCAAGATACATGGTTAACGTCTACCTTTTACATAGATGTTTTACTCATTTGCAATAAAATGTCAAAATGTTTTCCATGACACACACAAGGTGGGTGAGGTAATATTTTTTATTAGACCATCTTCTGTTGGTGAAAGAGACAACTTCTGCACTCCACAAATATAGGTCAATATTTTACCGGCCACCGGTAAAAAACTAACAACCACTTACCCCAGCAATATAAGAACATAATAATGGACTTATAGAGTCCATGTAGCCCAGTATCCTATCTCATGACAGTGACCATTTATTCCCTATCTTTTAACCAGTTACTGATCCTCAAGAGGATCTTCCCTCTTATCCCAGGTCTGCTTACTTTGCTGAAGAGCCTTTGGTGAGGGACCTTGTCAAAGGCTTTCTGAAAATCCATGAACACTATATCTACTGGATCACCCTTGTCCACACACTTGTTGACTCCAGTCAAAGAGTTCTAAAAGATTGGGGAAGCATGATTTCCCTTTACAAAAGTTGTGTTGACTCTTCCCCAACATATCGTGTTCATCTATGTGTCTGATAATTCTGTTCTTTACTACAGTTTCAACCAGTTTGCCTGGTATTGAAGTTAGGCTTATCACACTGTAATTGCCAGAATTTCTTCTAAAGCCTTTTTAAAAAAATCAGCTTTACATTAGATATCCTGCAGTCATCTGGGACAGACACTGATTTAAGTGATAAGTTACATACCAGCATTGTTAATTCTGCAATTTCATAATGGAGTTGCTTCAGATTCCTTGGGTGAATACCATCTGGTCCTAGTAACTTATTCATGTTTAATTTATCTATTTATTCCAAAACTACCTCTATTGACATCTCGATTTGTCACCTTAAAAGAATGGCTCAGGTGTGCGAATCTTCCTCACATCCGCTGCAGAAAAGACCAATGCAAATAATTCATTTAGCTTCTGTGCAACAGCTCCGTCTTCCTTGAGTGATCCTTCAGCACCTTGATCATCCAGGATTTGTCTACACAGGGATAAAAAACCTGCGGCTGGCCCGGGTCAGCTGTCTCAGGCTAGTGCGGCTTGAGCTCCAGAGCTGAAAAATTGCTATGTGTCTGTTCAGACTTGGGCTGGAGCCAGAGCTCTGGGATGCTGTGAGAACTCAGTCTTCAGCCTGAGCCCCAAAGCTCAAGCCCTGGCAGCTTGAGTCAGCTGCCCGGGCCAGCCACAGCCATGCTGCAGGTCTTTTAATCCCATGTAGATGTACACCCAGTGGCCTCTCTGATTGTTGGCAGGCTTCCTACTTCTGATGTACTTAATTTTTTTTTTTTTTTTGCTGTTAGTTTTTGTGTCTTTGACTAGTTGCTCTGCAAATTCTTTTTTGACCTGCCTAATTATACTTTTGCATTTGACTTGCCAGAGTTTATGCTCTTTTCTGTTTTTCCTCTATAGGGTTTGACTGCCAGTTTTTAAAGATTGCCTTTTTGCCTCTAACCGCCTCTTTCACTCTGCTGTTTAGCCATGGTGGCATTTTTTTTATTTGGGGTATACATATAGTTTGAGCTTCTATTATGATATTTTTAAATAGTTTCCATGTAGCTTGCAGGGATTTCACAAAAAAAGTAAAATGTACAGAGTAGTAGTCTTGTGAGTAGATTTAGAAAATAAAAATAAATAGATAAAAAAGATTTGAACCATTTAATCTCAAAATCAGTCTGTGTTAGAACTGCTACACTACATTTATATATCAGGATACTTAGCATGTAAATACCCACCTGTGACATGGAGACAACCTCAAACCAACGCAGAATTCCAGGAAGTTTGTAAGCTGTAACAAATGATGTTCTCTCAATCCACATAGACTGTTTTTTTAAAAAAAGAGAGAATACAGGATTGAAACCTTAGTCTTTTCAGGATAGAAGTTGATAGAAATTACATTGCAAAATAAAAGATTAGGTAGAAAAATGACAGAATAATTTGTGCATAGAAAGACGCAGCAAAAGGAATCCAGCACAGCAATTTGTGGTTTACTGTTTCAAAACTAGGTCATCATTAAGCTCTCAGTCTATACAAGGTAAGGAACCCTCAAATTTCTATTCCAAGCTCTGCCACTATTTACTGTGTGATCTCTGGTAAATCACTTACTCTGGCCTTCTTTACTCTGAATTAAGAAACTTTAAGGAAAACAACTGGTCCTACCAGCAGTAGGAGTTCTGTATCTGAGTGCCAGAATTTTAACCACTTTGTTGCTGCAAGCAGGTTAGTCAGCGTGGTGGATTAAACTGCTAACAGCCTGCCTACCCTAATGTTCCTCCTATTATTGTTACCACGGGGAGCCAAGTTGGTGGTAGCAACAGTGGGAAATTTTAACAACAGGTCTAATGCAGATACAGACTCACTGTCTCAACTGCCCCATATGTAAAACAGAAATACTAATATTTACCTTCCTCAAAAAGTACCATGTGTTACTACAGTGTCTGATTCTCAGACAGACCCATTCCACATCACCATGCCAGGATGTTAAAAAGTTCTAGAACTGGGAGCACAAGATGCAGCTAGTGTCATGTGCTCTGGGTTTGGGACAGTGTGTACCGTCCCTGCCCACGCAAGACCTATCACTAGCTAGTGCTGTTAGTCACTGATCAGAACAATACACATAATTTAAGTGCTTCATACAATTTTGAAATAAGGTGCTCTTACAAATCTGAAAACCTAAGTTGTTTTCCCCACCCACCTCTGACAGCACTCAACTGTACAATTTTATGATATAATAAAACTTCATATATTTATTCCTCTAAAGTAAGAAAACTTACCACACTGTTGTATATGACATTATAAAAATCATATAATTTATAGCACTTGTAGATCTCAAAGTGTATTAAAACTATAAACATTATTTGTAGTTGCTGCATTATTGAACAGCTGATGTGAGTCAATATGGCATATACAGTACTCAGCACTTCACATGAGTGATGAAAACAGACAATTTACACTCCTTAGCCCATACTGGTAGCTTATGAGTGGAGCAGTTATTAAGTACTAGTGGTGATGCATTTTATTGATATGTATTTACATTTTGTCTTGTTTAACAATAGAAAATTTTACTAGAGAACTTTTCTGCGTAACCAAACTATATTTAACTTACTTAACTGAGAGGTTTTACCTAAAATTCAAACGATGAAGTATTACGATAATAAAATGGGAAATTAGGGTACAAATCAGGAAATGTAAAATGAGAATATGTTGAAAAGTACTTAGAGTAATGTAGAAATAGAGAAGCCCTAGATTTAAATTGTACTGTAGTTGAAATGAAAATAGGTCGTTTCAGATCTTGAAACTAGGCCTTCCATAGTGGGGCAGCCGGGCATGACTATTAAAGGATTAAGCTCTGAATTCACAACCACAGCAACTCCAACATGTTTTACAAAGATGCTGCCATGTCAAAAAATTACTTACAGCAAATTCATTTTCAGGGTCAACAGATCCTTTCCTGACTGGTCTTGAGTAGTGGAATCGTTGAACATAGTTGGATTTATAAAAGCTGAAAGATTTAAAGAAGATGTAAAAAGCATAATTCAAGCACAGCTGGATTCCACCATCGAAGTAACTGGTTTTCTTTTTGTCTGATTTTAAATTAAGTGTCATTTAGTGTTCACGAAAAGCGCAGCAGTAACAGCATGGAAAACTGAAAACATTTATCCACCAAACAGGGACAGTAGCACCAAGTTTCATCACTGATGTGCCTCGACTGTGACCTGGAGGATGTGGGCGTTTCAGAATACGGATGAAATACTTAGGGGAAGCTGTAGAGGAGGTTTTTGCTTTTATTGACACCCACCTCTGAATTATGTTTTATGGATTGACCCATAAAGCGCTGTATATTGTTAAGACCACTACGTGACCAAGTGGAGTAGATGATATTTTATTTTGGACTTAAATGTGTGCTTGTTCAAACACGTCCCATGCCAAATCAGTTGATCGGATCTCCTGATAATTCTGCTTACAACACAGCAAAATAGCTGTTTATTAAACATGTGAAGCCATAAACAACTATTTCTTTTCACATATGGATGGATTTTGAATAAACTCTAATAGAAATGGAATAGCAAGGTTGAATACACCAGTAGCATAGAATATCAGGGTTGGAAGGGACCTCAGGAGATCATCTAGTCCAACCCCCTGCTCAAAGCAGGACCAATCCCCAGACTGAAATTTGCCCCAGATCCCTAAATGCCCCCCTCAAGGATTGAACTCACAACCCTGGGTTTAGTAGGCCCATGCTCAAACCACTGAGCTATTCCTCCCCCCAGAGCATCTTCATACTATGATCTCCTTAGCTAAAAAATAATCTTCAACTACTGTTGCACTGCAAGAGGAACATATACCGCCCCCCGCCCCAACCACTTTACCATACTATTATAGAGGATTGAGCGGTAACTTGAAAAGAACACAAAACATACAGTCCTGGCCCTTTAAATATTGTACTACCCAGGAGACTTTATTTATTTATAGGAATTCAATTTAAAGCAAAGCCAAGCAGAGATTGACTTTGCAGGACAAAAACAATGTTATAGGTCTAAGTGCAACTTACATAAATATTTCCAGAAAGAACTTCAAAAATGATCTGGTATTTTGGCAGAGTAGGCTTAGAAAACAAAGAGCCGAGTTTGGCCAAAGAGCACTCTCATTTTGCTCATTATTGGGAGTGTAGGATTCCTGAACTAGGTGACAACCATTGAAATCACCTCTTTGATAAATCACACTGTTTAAAGAGGCATATCAATTCAAATAATTTTATATAACCCCTTTTAGGACAGAAATGTTCAACCACTTTACTAGAACGAATACACTAAAATCACCTCTTACGAATAAGAATTATAGTTACAAACAAGTACTCTTCTCAAAAATAAATCCTTCCTATTATTGGTGGAAGAAATTTAGTGCAGTCTGGCTGAGTTCTGCAGCTGAGACACGATTTCAAAATCTTACATAAGGCAAAAGATTTTCCTTTATGTAGAGGATTTCAAGAGTCTTACAGTCACCAAGTTCAAACTATGGCTGGCACTGCAGTGACTTTAAAGTCCAGTGAAAGAGGGACAGATTCACTGAGGTGCTTGTCAGTCACCATTTATAAAAAAAATTCAGGTTGAAACTGGGAGCAACAAATTACATTTCATCTCAAAATAAGAGAAATGTGCTTGTTCCCATCCTTTTAGTTTAGGTGGCTCATTCATGCTTTTGCATTCTGGACTAGTTGCAATATCTGTAAAGATGCTACTGACAAACCTGCAGACAAAGAATTGCAGTAATCCATTCTGAATGTAACAAAAGCCCGTGGAACAGTTTATAAATCAGAAAGAGCCAGGCAATGGATTCTAACTGTATTTAATAAGATAATAAAAAGCTGTTGAACTTTCAGCCTTCTTTCTGAAGAGACTTAATGCCAATATTGTTAAAGGTAACCCCCACATTCCTTCAAATGTGGAACTGCGTGACATCATCCTTCTCGAGCAAAATGCAGCTGCCTCACATTGCTTTCAGAAAATTCTCTTAGCTAAGAATCAAGACCCTTTTATTCAACTCAGAAGATATCACTGAGTCTTATATTTCTGCTAAGCTGCCTGAACAGGATTAGACTAAAAAGATAAGGATAATTGGCTGTTATCTGTGTATTCCTGAAAAGAAAGATGTTACCTATCACTGATCAGTTCCAAGGAGGGCATGTATAGTGCTAATATCCTTGCCATATATGACAGCTGAATAGGTTGGGTGAAAGTTGCTCCTGAGAGCAGATTTGAACCAAGCTAGCATATTTCTACCCCATTAAAGATATACATTTTTCTTCCTGTTGAATCAAAGCCTTCTAAACCAATACAAGGAACACCAGCAATTCACCTCTACGGTAAGCTAAGCTTTACCATTATCTGCCTTACTTTAATAGTAAGGGCACACTGAAAAGGGAATTCAGTTTTGACCACTTTTTCCTAGGACTACTAGTAGCAATAAGAGATCTGAAACTGGATCAGCTAGATGATTATTAACATGTGGGACATCAGGACCCAGATATGTTTCTGGGAAGGAAGAGTTTTTGGGGGATGGAGCCAGTCCCCGGGAACAAAAGGCTTCCCAGGAGCATTGTGAGCCCCCGGCAACTGGGTACAGAGGGAGGTGAGACCCGTGAATCCAATCCAGACTTGGACTTAGGAGGAAGAGCCACACACCCTCGGGCACCAGGTGGCAGCAGGATTCTCCCTCCCCAGTCTATGAACTCAGGGACCAGGCTTCTGAGGGAAGAGTGAGATGAGAGTATTGCTCAGGAGAGGCTAAGCAGGGAAGGAAGGTGTCAGGAAGGACCCAAAAATAATTATGAGTAGACATGTTGGGAAAATTATAGAAAATAAGAGAGTGCCATGCAAACACTAGTGAGTTTTAATGTTCAGAGGTGACAGTAGCTGTCTCAGGCAGGAAGGGCAAGCAGGATGAGTGGTGTCACTGTTCCTGGAGCTCCAGGGCTCTCTGAATTAGGCATGGTGGAAGAACAGAAAGGCAGCAGTTGTAGAGATGCTGTCTTGGTGTTGCTGAAACCACCAGAGGTGACATCACTGGGAAGAGAGGGAGAGGAGCATTGCCCCTGAGGCTACAATGGCATATAAAGTAGTTTTTAAACTGGACCTGCCTCTGCTCCTCTACTAATATTGGTTCTGCTGCCCCCAGTGCTCACCTGTGTGTGTTTGTTGGTTATTGCTACAAGCCAGGTAGATCTTCTTTTAATCTAAACCTATCCCTAGTTCCGTAGTGCTGCTGCTCTTAGCCAATGCTTTAAATAAGCAGTATCAGGAGGGAATTTGAAGGAACTAACATTTGCTTGCTTCCAATTCCCATTGCACCTCACCCTGTAGGCTGTGAGGAAGTGTATTAGCAAAAACAGTGGCATTGATTTGGAGGTCAGAGAAGTATACAAATTCATGTTCTGTTCTAGAAAAACAACAACACATCCTCCATCCCCTGCAATTTCCCCAGGGAACGGGGATAAGAGGCTGCGAACTGTGTTTTAGGGAGAAGAAAAGCAGACTGTGGCAAAACACTACCATGGCACACAACCGTTCAGTCCCACTGAAATCAATGAAGCTGCAGTGCGTATATATTAAAACAGAATTTGGCTGCCTAGCCAGAGTAAGTTGGGCTTTTTTCTGTAAGCAGACGATAGTGTTTACATGGCTGATGAGATTCTCTGAAATGTCAGGAAAAATAAATTTAGTAACTGAGATAAGTGAATGCACCTTGGCTCACCAATAAATTGGCTGTATTAATAAACTAATTAGTTCTCCTTAGACTATTAACCCAGATTCTCACACCTTTTATGGTAACATTTATCCAACAAAAATAAACTTACTTTATGATTTGATCGGGTACTGGCTTATTTTTGAATCTGGTATGCTCCTCCAAAACTGGTTGCACAGTAAAGCACTGAATGTCTAAAATCACACAGGTTAAGGACATATGAAAGATATTATGTAGCCTGGAAAACAAAGAACATATTGTCCAAGAGCAGTCTTCCTAAGATTTTTATTCTAGAGAGGAAATATTTGGCGTTAACACTGAAAAAACAGACTAATTTTGAGATATATACAATACGGTATCAGTTATCTGAGTAGGTTTACTGTTAGGTTAGAGTGCTTGTGAGTTAATTTATCACACTGAACAGTTTATTGTATTACAAAACAAAGACTATTTGATACAAATATTTTCATTACTTAACTTGGACATAGGCATAGTGCGTGGCAGCAATTGGCAAAATGTCATGATGTTTAAAGTTTTAGATCTTTGTCCAAATTACTGTGTGTCTGTAACGGGGTCGGCACCTGCCTCTTGTGCATGGCCCCTATTCTCTGGCCGATAGTACCCGCAAACACAGTTCTTTCACGGGGGGGGGGTGGCCCCCACCTCTCGAGGATGGCCCCCTTTCGGTTAGGTGTGAGCCTGCTTTTCTTTTTTGGTCTTACATCAGGGTGGTGCCTGCCTCTTGCAAGCACCCCACCCCAGCCACTGGTTCTCTTGGCTAGGCTTTGGCAGCTCAGCCCTCTGGCCAAGCCGTACACGGTGTCCCCCCTTCCGGGGTATACAGTCCTGAGTTCTTATCATGGCCCTGGTATGGCGCCATAGTTCTTAGGTTTCTTCCCCGAGGTACTGCCTTCTTCATCTACCCAGCCGGAGCCCATTTCGGTACCCTCAGCTGGTGTCTTTTTCAGCAACCCTCCCTGGGCTCAGTCTGCAACCAGACGAGCAGGACCCATCTCAGTGCCCCTCACCTGGTCTGGCCAGGTCTTGGGATCAATCCCCTGGGCCCTGCCTGCCTGCCTGACCTTTTCATGGTCCTGCTGCTACTCTATCCATCCAGCCAGGCACCTGGTCTTTGGCAGCCTCTGGTGGGCCCAGTTGTGTCAGGTGAGCTCTCTGCAGTGAGCTATCCGCAGTCCTGCTGTTCTCCTAGCCAGCCAGGCACCTGGTCCTCTCTGATCAACAGGGCCGGCTTTAGGCCAATTCGCCCGATTCCCTGGAATCGGGCCCCACGCTTAAGAGGGCCCCGCGCTGGCGCCTTTTAAATTTTTACTCACCCGGCGGCGCTCCGGGCGGGTCTTCAGCGGTATTTTGGCGGCGGGCCCTTCACTCGCTCTGGGTCTTTGGCGGCATTTCGGCGGCGGGTCCTTGAGTGCCGCCAAAGACCCGGAGCTAGTGAAGGACTCGCTGCCGAAGTGCTGCCAAAGACCCAGAGCGCCACTGAGTGAGTACAAATCGGGCCCCGCACTTGCTAAAGCCGGCCCTGCTGATCAAGGTCCACACAGCAACTGAAGGCTCTGCTCTGCTACTTCCCTTTTATCTGGCCCTTCTGGCCTCTTATTGGTCGCTCCAGCAGCCCCCTCTAGGCTGCCTGGAGGACTTCTCACTGCTCTATTCTAAGGCAGGGTGATGCAGGGCCACGAGGCCTCCAGACCTAGTCCACCCGGCCACAGTATCACGTGTGTCTTAGATTTCCATTTTATAGGTGGGTGCTTAGTTCCAATAGAATATTGCGTGGGCATAAATCATATTCTTACACATTTCACTCAAGCACTTACGGTCAGATTCTGCCATCTTTCCTTATGTGTAGTAGTGCCTTGCTCTGTGACTAGTCCCATTCACATTACCTAGGTGTAAGTTGCTCTTTATTCTGAGCAAGGACGTCAGACTCTGACCCTTAGAGAGGAAATATAGTGATTAAGACACTGGACTGGGACTCATGAGATCTGGGTTCCAGTGTTATCTTGGGCAACAGTGTCTGTCTCTCTGTGCTTCAGTTCCCCATTTGTAAAATTGAGGTAATATTACTTCCCTACCTCACTAGAGCGTTAAGATCAAGAATGCATGTGAGGTGCTCAGATACTACAACGATGACTGCCATAGGGAAGCCTACAAACAGGGCCGGCTCCAGCATTTCTGCCGCCCCAAGCAAAAAAAAAAAAAGCCGCGATTGGCGGTGGCAGTTCAGCGGCAGGTCCTTCGCTCCTAGAGGAAGTGAGGGACCTGCCGCTCCCGAATTGCCGCAGGTGCCGTCCCTCTCCCTTGGCCGCCCCAAGCACCTGCTTGTTAAGCTGGTGCCTGGAGCCGGCCCTGCCTACAAATAACAAATACACCGATTTTAAAAGGAGATAAAAATAATCCTGGGTTTAAACCGTAATATCTGATCCTTTGGTTACCCTTTGCTTCCCCACAGTGAATTCTGGGGACATTTGAATCCGGATCCAAACCAGTGGCTCTCTAATGGTCCAGATTAGAACATGAGGAAAAGGAGACAAGAAGTGAGCGATCTACCAGGAACATTCCAAACAACAAAATATCTTTAAGTCCTTTTCAAAATAAAGTGGAGAATGCTGATTTGAGATGGATTTGATGATTTAGCACATTCCAAAGGCTAGGAACCCCCACAGCCATGGCACCACTGCCTGGTGACATAAGGAATGACAGTGGGATCTATAAAGGGCAGGTGGTGTACAAGGGCAGTTTCAATCACAAGTGTTCAAGGAGGTCATGCATGTGGCCTTTAATGAAGGTCTTGAATGAAAAGCCTGTAAAAGACAGGAATGCCACTTTAAAGGTAGCCAATGCCATTGCTCACCACTGTTGTTACAATGCCAAGTTGGTAAAGGTAAACTGTGTGTGAACTTGAAAGAAGACTAAAATAGGCAGAGTGCCCCAGAACTGGGGGGGACGGGGGGAGGAGAGGGTGGGCACACAAGCCTTAGAAGAGAAACAGCCTATATATGTGAAACTGGAAACTGAGGTGTCATGTAAATAGGTGCTCGTCACTTTTATGAAATGATCACTCTCTAAAGCTGAATTCCATCATATATGGCTGGTGCCGCAGCGCCCTGTCAGCTCTGGAGAGCTGAACTCTGGTGAACCGCCTCCTCCAGAGTTTTCAAATGTACTCATGTTTGCTCATTAGTTTTGCTTTTCATCAAAACAAAAAACAAACAGAAAAAACCCCAAGTCCAACAAAGGCTTTTCAAACATTAAGGCTTGTCTACAAGATGTGTTAGTGCAGCACCAACTGGGGTAGAAATTCTAGTGCACACCAGCATGTTGTGCATTAACTGGCCTGTGTGGACCCTGCTGGTGTGCAGCACAAGTTTCCTAGCACGTGTTAACATAGTACCACAGGACAACATCAGCACACACTAGGAAACTTTTAGTACACACCAGAATCCACTTGGCTAGTTAGTGCACAACATGCTAAGGTGAGCACTAACTAATTATGTAGACAAGCCCTAAGTGCAGTAGTACAGGTGCATTTTGGGGATGAAGGGGGAGTATTGTTCAGAATTATGTCACTGTGCCACCAGGGTGTTTCTAACACAAGCAAAGGATTTTTGAGAAGGAGAGAAAATACCCAAGCTGGTGAGACAAGACATGTGTCAGTGACTAAGTAGATTTAAACTTAGATTTCAAGTGTTAGAAAAGCATGTGCATGATTTATTTACAAGCAGTTCTAGGAAGCCAGCCGATATAGCCCCGACCATTGTTGTGTGTCGCTTTTGAGGACAATTACAATATACTGTTCAAATAAAAATGAAGAGTGTTTGGTTCTTACAATAGACTTCTGAAATGATGCCCAGCAGGTAGCAACAGGCGGGGTGGATGTCAAAAGCTATCACATCTGTACGCTAAAGTATGTTTTTTGAAGAGAGGGTGGAGGATAAATTAAGTACAATCAGAGCTTCTTTTTAAGTGCTTCCCCTCCACCCCCCATGAGTGTTGGGGACTGAGAAAGGAACAGATGATATCTCGACAACCTGTTATGAAGTATTCTTAAAAGATATGCATAATGGTTACAAGACTTTAGGTGCATGTTCAGTAAGTGAGTCGGGCCATTAAAAACCATAGTACAAAATAACTAACTGAATAGTGAAACATTTATATTTATGATGTTTCAACAAAATATTGCCTTTTCTTATAATTCAGAAATATCCTGGAAATGAAAAGAACCAAGAAATATTGGAAAGATGTAAATAATACTGATAATATGGTGTGAAAGCACATGAATTAACTAAATTTAGCAGTTCATAACATTGGATGTTACAGACAGACCACATGCATGAATTGTATTTAATAACAACACTTTGCGCTGGCAGCCCTCCAACTGAGCCTGTCAAAGTGCTTGCCAAACAATAGGAATTCATCCTCACAGTTCTCCTGTGCGGTAAAAAATCCTTACTCTCCTTTTTTACAACTGAGGGACAAAGAGGGGAAACAACTTGCTCAAGGTCATACCGTGCATCTGTTGCACATCCAGAAAAAAATAACATTTGCTGGTGCTCAGTCCTGTGAGGAATGTAGGAATATTTTAGCAATGCAGGTTACAGATTTTGACTGAACTAATAATTGTCAGTGGAACATCATGCCCATCTTATTTTGTCTGTTCCACACAGGTTATGACTGCTAGTCTCACCCTCAATTCAATTCAGTGCAGTTTCTATCTATTACCAGTTCAGAACATAATATATTTTTCTTCCATTTGCATCCTCTAGTTCAGGGATTCCCAAACTTGGTTCGCAGCTTGTTCAGGGTAAGCCCCTGGCGGGCCGCGAGACGCTTTGTTTACCTGAGCGTCCGCAGGTATGGCCGCTTGCAGCTCCCAGTGGCAACGGTTCGCCATTCCCAGCCAATGGGAGCTGCAGGAAGGGGCTTACCCTGAACAAGCCGCAAACCAAGTTTGGGAACCCCTGCTCTAGTTAATCCCTCACTGTTCTTCCTTTTGCTTTTCCAGTTCAGACCAGTGTACTTAGGCAAGTTAGCCAGTTTAAACAAAAAAACCCAATAGGTCATATGTACCTGCAAACATTTGCAGATTTTTGTTTTCCTAAAATCAGACCAAAACTTTTGAAGTTCTAGGGTAGGATTTTTAAGAACCATCAATGTTGGCATAACTCTGCTCCTATTGAAACCAATGGGAGTTTTACCATTGATTGCAGTCAGGGCCGGCTCTGGCTTTTTTGCCACCCCAAGCAAAAACAAACCAACAAACAAACAGGATGCAAACTTTCGGTGCCACTTATTTGGCGGCTCGTGGCTGCCTCCCCCGGCTGCGCTGGCAAACCTCTGGGCGGGCGGCGGCTGCACTCTGGCTAACAGGACTCCCTGTACTGCAGACGTGCCCCGGGCAGCGGAGTGCGCGCCCTGGCTAGCAGGGGGAGGGAAGCGGGGGGGGAAAGAGAAAAGGGGGGCAGCCAGGGCGCTCGCCACACGGCCTCTCCCACCGCGCCACCTGCCGGGAGGGCTCTGCACCGCTCCCGCCTGCAGGTGAATTGAAAGTTGTCGGTTGGCGTGGAGGGAAGGACACGGGCTGCCGGGCTTGCTGCAGACCTGGCACCAGCTGGGGCAGATGGAGCGCGCAGCCCGCTCCCAGCAGGGCGCTCCCCTCCTCCGCGCCGCCGCCCCCTACAGTGGCGCACTGAAAGTCGTCGATGCAACAAAAGAAAAACAAACAAACAAACAAAAAAACACAAGGGTGCAGGGCGGCCGGAGCAGCGAACCAAAAAAAAAAAGGCAGCCATGCCACCCTAAGATTGGACGGAATGCCGCCCCTTAGAATCTGCCGCCCCAAGCACGAGCTTGCTCGGCTGGTGCCTGGAGCCGGCCCTGATTGCAGTGTGAAGTTCCACAACAGCACAAGAGGCCCATTGTGTTAGGTGCTGTAGAGACATAGAGTAAGAGACAGTCCAACCCACAAAAAGTTTACACAATCTGTTTTCAGCATGATGTGAAGGGAATTAGACATACAATTGCTGTTCGCATTAATGGGAGTTGTGTATAGTAACTCTCCACTTAACGTCCTCTCGATCTTACATCCCTGCTCAATTACAGAACATGCTCCATTTAAAGTTGTGCAATACTTCGCTATAACGTTTGGCTGCCTGCTTTGTCCACAGCTGGCAGCCCCCCTATCAGCTCCCCTACACCCCTCCCCACTACAGTGCCTCTAGCCTGCTGGCAGACCCCGCAGATCAGCGCCTTTCCCCTCCTCCCTCCGCCTCCTGCCCACGGCAATCAACTGGCTTGCGACGTTCAGGAGGGAAGGGAGAGGAGCGAGGACTCGGCGCGCAGGCTCCCCCTCCCTCCTGCCCTCTGAACATCGCAAGCCAGCTGATTGCCGCGGGCGGGATGGAGGGCGGAGGTGCGAGGACGCGGTGTGCAGACTAAATGGGGGGGGGAGGAGAAGAGGCGGGTCAAGGGTGGGGGTTTGGGGAAAGGGGCGGGCGGAGGGTTGAGCACCCCGCCCCTGGTGCTTGCAGAGTAGGGGAAGCTGCCGCTGCTGTTGCACAGTGCTTCTCCTAGCCTACAGCACCTCCTAGCCTACACCACCTTGCCTGCCTCATTGTCTCCAGTGCCAGTGGGCTGTGCCTGTGTGGGGTAAGGTGGGGGCACCTCCCAACTATAGTACTGTACTGTACTGTATGGCAAAAAAAAAATTCCCTGGAACCTAACCCCCCCATTTACATTCATTCTTATGGGGAAATTGGATTCGCTTAACATTGTTTCACTTAAAGTCACATTTTTCAGGAACATAACTACAACTTTAAGTGAGGAGTTACTGTACATGGTACTGCACACACATGCTGAATATATGCCTTTCCATAAAATCATTTTATAGTGATTTAGTTCACAGTGCTGCACTGCCTCAATCGACAGATTTACACCATACTACTGTACAGGAGCCCCTTGTCTGTAGGCACCTTCCTACTTAACATAACTCCACCTTAGAATCATAAGGTTAGAAGGGACTGCAAGAGTCATCTAGTCTAACTGCTGCCAAGATGCAGGATTTGTTGTGTCTAAAACACCCCAACATAGATAGCTATCAGCCTCCTTTCATAACCCTTCAGTGAAGGAGCTTCCACAAGCTCCCGAGGCAGTCTGTACCATGGTCCTATCGTTCTTGCAGTTAGGAAGGTTTTCCTGAGATTCAATCTAAATCTGCTATGCTGCAGTTTGAACCTATTGCCTTTTGTCCTGCCCTCTGTGGCAAGGGAGAACAACTTTTCTACATCCAGCCTTGTATGTCTTGAAGCCACATCTGCTTACTAATACTGGCAAAATCCCTTTTTCTCTGAACCAAGTACATCTACAGGCAAGCAAAGCCGCTCAATTCTGTTTTTTCATTGTTAAGAGGATTTGAGGATGCTCAGCACCTCATGAGACACTCAGAACTTTGAATGATCAAGTCCCCTAGAGCCAACCTCAGTAACAGTGATTGCCATCGCTGTATACCATGATTCACAGGAACCATGAACTTCAACAGTGTTGCTATCAGACTCCCTTGACAAAACAAGTTTTTCCTTATTCTGTAAATTCCTATCTTTAAGGATACATTGACCAGGAGAGTTTTTCATATCCTCTCCAGGGGCTGAGGTGGTGTTCATCTTCTCTGCATTTGGGAACTGGCTCATCAACTGTGCTTGGAAATCTTCTCTCCGCTCATACTCCTTCCCACGGTAGATGAACACTTTGTTCTGCAAGAGACAAATACTAGATTTCTTAGACTGGAAAGTCTTTGGGGCAGGGCCTGTGTGTGTGTTTGTATAGGGCCTAGCACTGTGGGGTCTCTGAACCTGATAGTGGCCTCTAATTGTTTCAGAAATATAATAATTGATTATAACCCACTTCCACTAGCTCCAGGAAAGTGTCACTGATTCCCCAAAGAAAATAGTTCATGCTGTGAGACAGAAAAAGGAAAAAAAGGCTGAATTCAGAATGTGCCTTTACAGTAGTAATTAAACAGGCAATGGGGAGGTGGGTGAAATATTAAAATTCCTTTTCTTCTTTCCCCTTTATGAAAGAGACGTGCTTTATATGTATAAATTCTCTTCTCCCCATCCCTCTCCCCCAGTATTATAAACTTCTCATTTACAGCACAGTCAATTCCAAGGAGTTCTTGTCTGTCGTTCAGCGTACGTGGTGTGACGAGATCGGGAAGGGAAGAAGCAGTTGCCCTTATAAATATGTGAAACACACCCATTCAGTGTTAATTTTTGAAGCAGGGGGAAAATTCATTATTATTAAATTAAATTAAAGTGAGTAGTCAAATACTTTAACCTAAATACCTAACACCTAAAACCTAAAAATAAGGTGAAATTCTCTCCTCTGCAGGCGTTCTACTGAATGTCCTCCACGTAAAATCAGACTGTAAGGCTGAACTGGTGAAGGGAGGCATTGCATTGCTACTCAAACATGAGGGTGTATTTCACCCTAGCCCAAGTCTCTGCTGGAGCCACAACATCCATGCTGCTATTAGCGCACTAGCCTGAGTGGAGCTAGCACCAGTCTGTCTACATGGGCTGGGAGGCTTGTTTCCAGCTGCAGTGTAGATATACTCTTAGTGTGCAATTGCAGGGTCCACACGACCAGTTAGGTGCAGCAACCTAGAGCACTGTAGACTTAACCTAAGCTTTCCATGCACTATCTCGTCTCTCTGACAAGCCCCCAGAAGTGTGGACACGTATCCTTCAGGTGTAGCTAAGGAGCAGTTCAGATGTCATCTTTTGTTCGCTCATAATGAGAGCTACCAAAAATTACAAATGTGTGTGAAAATGAACTAGATTTTAAGGTTTGATATGAACTTCAAATGTCATTTCATTGCTTCCTGGTACCCTGTACCTTCATTAGTCTGTGAAATATGTAACATTTGGGAAGCCTTTGCTTACTTATAATATCTTGTAAGGATTCAGCATGCTGCCTTTTTACTCCATCACTACTACTATGAAGGTATTCTAGTCTACAAGGGAAATCAGAATAACGACACGATCAACTTAGACGCATTTCCATCCGGGAAGGCTTTAATGTGCTATTATAACAAGTAATACTTCAGATAATTGTGAAATCTGGTGCCAATGCAGGATTAAATGAAGATCAGTTTTCCCCAGAGACTAAGTACATTTTTACTAGTACCGTGCAGTGGTGTTTTTATGAGTATAGAAAAATATAGTTGAAGGAGAAATATACAAAGTAGAGACTTACCCTGAGAAATGTGGGAAATCCTTGGCCATAATATCCGACGGCAAAGTAATCTGGTTTAGGCCTCAAAATTTTCATGATGTTTTCATAAAATTTAGCTTGTTGAATCTGAAATCAAAAATGGTTTCTCAGTCTTGTTGTTTCAGAATCATAATACTTCAAGGAAAATGGTTTCTATATTTAAATTATTACCGGGATAACTTTTAAAAAATACAGCATTCAGTCACTCTTTACACAGTTTTCTTGTGCCACATTGTTTTATAAATTGTTTATGTAAGCATAATACACAGCAAAATTAAATGGGGTCAAACAATTTAAAATGTATGCAAAGTCAGGTAATCCCTAATTAACAAGTTTGGAAACAAGCTGTCAAACACCTCAGAATTATACTAGGTAGGATCCATAGTAGCTAGTAACTTCATTGATAAGGTTAGTGAGATAATGAGCTTGAAAATGTTTCATGTCCTTAATGTAGCTTGGTGAGGACTGGGCCAGCTGTTCAGAATAATGGTAGCAGTGGTAAATAAGGGGCAGATGTACGTATGCTATACTGAGTTGAGAACAGTGCTTCATTTTATTGATTGTGTTCTCAAGTATAACATTGCATTTAGTCTGGGCTATGTAAATGTGGTCTGCAAGAGATTTTTTTTAAAATAAGGATTATAATCTTTTGATTTATGACATACAGAGGAAGTCTGAAAAAAGTGCATGTGTGAGGAGTGGTCAGGATTCCTCCAGATTTGTTTTTCACCTTAAACATTTCAGGAATATCAAGTTTTGACTCCCCTGGAAGGTTCGGCTATGTGTTCATTTTGAGCTCTAACACCTTCACTGAAATGGCAAAGGTGTTGAATCTTCAAAAAAGGCTTCTTTATTCAAAATTTGGATTCGTTATTGAGGATAAATATGTGTGAGTAAAAACAAAACACACAGTGTTTAAACAGCCGGCCTAAAAATCCCCTCCACTTTCATTTTCTCAGCTTTCATTCTATTGGCTCTTGTGATGGCACCACTTCACTAGTTCTCCAGTCACCACAGGCTCTTCCAGGCTTGACAGGATCTGAAATTCTAATGTCAAAAGCATATGGGGGCGCGGGGGGATATTTTAAACCTTTCTTTCTACACCATAAAGAAGAACCAAAAAAGGGGCACAAGGCTATTTTATGTCGTTTAGGGAATTTTTAAACCCTGCAAGTCAATTAATGCAAAGTAACCACTCCTGGGAATTGCTTTGTCTCATGTAATCTTATCTCTAGAATAGTGTCAAATGATTAAATATGCATACATACATATATAATAATTAACCACTTTTATAAGGCTCTTTAGCACAGGAACTTTATTATTTAATTTGTCAAACTTCAAGGCATGATCGCTGACAAAGTAAAGAATGTGAAATGATCTAAAAATGAATATGGATCACAAATTCCTATGGACTCTTCAAAAACTTGTCTACCTATCTACCATTTGAGAGTTCAAAAATATTTATTTATGTTCCTGAAATATTTTAGAGAGCCATTTATGTTCTTACCAGGTTCTGGCTTAGAAGTTCATAGTCAAAAACTTCCATTTCATACTGCTGTGCTAGCTCTTTGCATAAGGATATTGATTCTTCCCACATCTGCAAAGTAACCACATATTCTAAAGTAAAATTACACAGGTACAATCGAATACCAACAAATACGGTTTTAAGGAACCACTGTTTAACTATGTATCCTTATTGATTAGGCTATCTCTAAGCTGCAGTTATCTATTAACTGCACATATGGAATGGAAGACTCAAGGCACCCATAATTCCATGAGAGCAGCTTAATGTGCAGAGTAAAAATATTTTATGGTTCATTATAGATAGGAACAAGTGAGTTTCCGTTACAGTTACAAGAACACCGCCAAAAATCATCTGACCTTTCAGTATCCTCCAAACATAGGTACAGCATCTCCAAGGGCTCAGACACAAACTCCATGCACATTATATTGTGCTTTCTAGGGGCCCAATCCTGTAATCTATGCTCCCATAAGTAGTCCTTGATCAGGTGAAATGTCCTTTTCAGCTAAATGATCTTGAGACCAAACCACTGCCTGCCCACAAGACAGCAGCTTATTTCATTCCTCACAACATAATTTCTGTCTCAAGAAGAAACACTGGAAGGAAGGCATGCTGCAATGGACATAGTGAGCCAGATTTTCCAGTCTGCTAAGGGCATTTTGCTGTAAGCCTCACACAGTGATTTTAAAGCAGCTGGGAGACAGCAGGTGGACATCTCCCCCTCTGCAGAAAGACTGCTCGCTAGCAGAACATTGGCTTCGCTGCCTTCTGCACCATACACCCCTCACCCCAGCCCAGATAAGGGAAAGGAGAGAACATGCTGGGGATGGGATGGCAGGGAGAGCTCTGCTATATCTGATCCTCCACTGATGTAAGTCACTGCCAGTCTCATGAATTGGGGCCAGTCCTGCACATCTGTAACCTACACTTGGATTGGGCAGCCCTGAATCAGAGAGGTGCTACCAGCTGCCTGCAGCAATCTGTCCAAGCAGAGCTTGGCTGAAGTGGAGAATTAAAGCTATTGTGTATCTAGGGTTATGGTGCATGGAGAGGTATTGCTACACTGTCACTATTTCAAATGCATATAGACAGACTGCTAGATAACAGTTAAATAGCACTGCACTGTCTGTGCCACAGTACAGTAGTGAGATAGTGCAGAGGCACTAGAAGTTTCCTGTCCGAAAGGCTAACATTGGGGAAACAAGTTGGTACCAGCTCAGGACAAACAGTGGAACAAGAAAAAGTAAAGGAGCAATGGTTGGTCATTGTAGGTGAACTGCATTATTCAACAGGTGGGATTGAAGATGTTCTTTTGAAGGTCAGAAATGGTATTTGCCATACATCAGCTGAGCTTCAACCAGACATAGAATAAGAAAAGATTTACAGGGTCACCATGTTCAGTGTTTTCCACTGCAAAATTATTCCCTACTTTATGTTGTCCAGTACTTTGCTCATTCTCGTTTTCAAGGGTTCTATGATGGGGTATCCACCCCACCCAGGATGGCCAGGTAGGCCAATTATCTCCACAGGATGCACCTGGAGGAGGAGCCAGGGAGCAGGGAACTAATTGAAAATAGGCACGGCTGGTCAGGAACAGGTGGTGCCTATAAAGCCAGGTTGCTGCTTCTAGGTAAGGGCAGTCACTCCCTGGGAAGAGGGTTTGGAGCTGGTACACCCACAGGAAGGATGGGGACCCAGTAGTGTAGGAATCAGTCCAGGGAAGGAGTAGTGAGGGTGAGAGAGGAAAGCCCAGAACTGCTGAGCTGAAGGCCCTTGGACTAGTACCCGGAGTAGAGGGCAGTCCTGGGTTCCCATACGAGCCACTGAGGCCATGGCAGTGAATGGGGAGACTGCTAGTGCAGAGAGATATTGAAAGACTTTGGTAACTGGGACGGGAGAAGGCTGAGTGACCTAGCTGGAAGTCACAAAGAGGTCGCTATGGGTCCTGGAGCGAGAGGGAGGGAGAGGGATGGTGTGTAAACCGGGGAAGGGGGCATCTGCCCCAAGAGCTAATCCCCGAAGCACCCCAAGACAGGTTCAATCATGGAGTCAAAGGGACCTTTACTATTGGACATCAAAAGGTGCAGGATCAAGACCGTAAAAAGGTATTTAGTAGCCTATATATGACTTGTGTGTTGACCACTTGTCTAAAACTACATCTGTCTTTCTGAGATATCCTGTGTATTTTGAGGAAGAGGATAATGTGATGGAAGAATAAGAACTGAATTAACTGTATCAGTTTCTTGTTAATGGAAAATTCATTGCATGTCTGTAATTATTTTATTTATGTTGGGCAACATGCACTATTTCATTGTTTTGCCTGAGCTAAGAAAAAACTAGACTGGATGTCAGTTACGAACATTAGCCTTCTTCCTTTGTATATTTATTTATATGACAAATTTATTAAAAAGGAGTTGTCTATAATGAATCTCCTTTTAGATGAAATTTTTATTTATGACACACATTTCCAAAATGATTTTACCCAATAGCCAAACAGATGTTTTGTTATAATAAAATGATTGTTAAAGGCCACTGTTGCATAACGTAACACAGTCGGAATGTTAAAACAGTTACCTTTCCCTTGTCAAAGTATTCTATAATTTTTTCATACAAGTTCTCTTTCAACTGTCGATGGGTCTGTGAATACTGGAATTCTGTTTGCATAACTTGAGGTGCACACTGTTCATCGGACCACTGTGAGAAAAACATTAGAAAACACATACTTTTGGAGGCAAAGTAAAAAAATGTTAAGTTTCTTCTGTATTTCCCTAACATCCAGAGAGTAGGGAAATACCATGGCAAGGATGCAAATTTTTTAACATGTTCCCAAATAACTGTTTCATGTTGGTAACTAGGGTTGGTCAACATTTTTTGAGTGGAACAGTTTTCTGTTGAAAAATGCAGGTAATACAAAATCATGTCTAGTCTGATGAAATGCTCTGAGGAAAAGTAAAAACATTTTGTTCTGAGATTTTCAACTTTTTTTTTATGTTTCTATCATATTAAGATATTAATTTATTATGTATACATAATATAGATTAATATAATATAAAAGTCAAACAAAATGAATTGAAATGTCACTATTGAAACAAACGTTTTTCTGGTCCTGAATTTCAATTTTTCAGAATTTTCATTTCTCTGGATATTTGGGCTTTATGTACCAATTTAGAACTTAAAAAAAAAAAATTAGAATATCCCACAGAACAGAAATTACAGTTTCCAACCAGCTCTATTGGTCACATCAGCTACTTAACTAGATTGTAGTGAAAATAAGCATCAGTTAAGAAAACAGGCAGAGGGAATAATTTGAAAATGTGACCCGTCATTTAAAATGAACATTTTAATATACCCATATTGCAGTAGCTGCCAGGGGCAAATTTAATTACAGCCCAATATTATATGTAGGTTTCCAATCTAGCCCTAATTTGGAAATTGTGAGTACAGTAAGGTCAGAAAAAATGCAGTAATTATGGAGGGCTAATTACTCCAAAAGTCACATATCCTATCTTTATATTATTTTTGTCACAATTTTTAATTACCAATACATAATTTTAAATCATCAGCTGAGAACATCTAATATTTCTTCTCAGTAAGTATGCTCTAATTTTTACTAAATGTCTTAGTATTTTCAACTACCAGGAAATTAGACTGCGACTAATGAAATAATTAATACAAAGTCTTTGATTTATTGTGTAAAACAGATTATATATACACACACACACATTTCTAAATCTGAAAATTGTGACAGCTCATTATATACATTCAAATGTGAACTCAGTAGTCTAACCTTCAAGAGCGAGGTATGGAGTAGAAGGGTGTATGCAGCTTCTGTGTAATTCTCACAATCTAAATGAAGATCTCGCAATTTATACAAGTATCTGTTACAAGGGAAGAAAATCAGAGTTTAAAAATATACATAGAGTTCTGGCAAAATGCATTAATGGCTTGCACCCACAAGCACCCACGGTGAAACTCTCCACAGAAAGAATGAAAGATGTAATGGAGTAACCACCCTTAGAGATCTCAAGGTTATTTGGAGGGAAGCTATTAACTAACTCTTATTTGTCTGGGCCATTAGATTGGTCTGAGCTTCCTTTGTGTTGTGGAGCATCTGCAGAAAAGCAGGGTTAACAATCAGGCCAACTTTACCAGAGTAACTGCCGTGCCTGCACCTGTGCGGGTAAAACTGAGATGTGCAACAAACACATTTACTCCACATTTTCCAAACCCTGGTGCACTGTGGAGTATTATCAGAAATAGTTTGCCTTTTGACTGCTGCCAACTACCTGCCATTGTTATATAAATTGTTAATTGTTTTCTCCTGTGCTATTTTGCCCTAATTTTATATGGATGTTTCATTTTACCCATGTAAATGCTACAGATAAGACTAAAGGAAGAAAAAAAATATTGTTCCAGTTCCTCAGCTATAGTTGAGGAGTGCATAACACAGTACATCAAAGAAGAGCATGGAGGTGGTGTGCACGTGGCTTGCTCCAATCCTGACCTGGCTATCACCAAGACGGCCCCTAGCATAAGTTAGAACAGCCTTCAGGCTGCTCTAAATTATATACCAACTGCCAGTGGCCCAAGAGTCTATTATTACGGTGGGTATAACCATGGCCCAACCATATCTCCTCCACCTACAGGGAGGGGAAGTGTGACCTAAGACGTGATTGTCCCTGCACAGGGGGACAGATTAAGGCCCTAAGTAATCTTAGAGACAGCATAAAGTCAGGTATACGGTAGAAAAGTTTTGCTGGGGTGTGTGTGTGTGTGTGTGTGATATATAGCTCCAGCAGAAAACCATACAATTACAAGTTGAATATAGTGCTGCATATTTAGCATGCTCTGTAGTCTGAGCACATACTACAAAACTGGAAAGGGTTTCTCTGTCTCTCTCTAAATATATGATATGATTTGCCTCCAACTTCAAATCCAACTATATTTTCTTCATTAAAGAGAATGCAATGATTCATTCAAATAAACTTTATTCTGGGGGAAAAAAGTGCTGTTGATGAATATGTACAATAGATTCCAACTTTCTGAAAGCTAAGCAAACAATAGATTAAAAAGTATAAATGAGCCTAAGGATATTATGGACTCATTGTGGATGATGAGCAACCAAGGGCATAACGCAAATCCATATAGTATGCTGAAGACAGTGTGCATAAAAGGAATATTACTGCACTCTTCAAACAAAAATCAATAGAGCAATTACCATACCTTATATACATCCCTTCACGGTTAATGTCTTTGTAGAAATTCTAGAGGGGGGAAATAATTACAGTGTTAGTTTTCAATCTCGGTTATTAAAATACTTTTCAGGACCAAATTACTCATGCTAAGTATTATTTTCTTTTTAATTGTATAGACAGTGCAGAAAACAGAACATAATTCTGTATTTTGGCTCATTTTGTCATTAAAATTTTAAAACTTAAATTATTAATATCACAGTTTGTGATATGCATTATTTACAAAACATTCTCAATTAAAATCCGATAATATGGCTGCTTCAAACAACATTTTAGTTCCTTTATAGCACAACCATATATAAAATCTTCCAGTTCACTATCACAATTATTAGTGATGGTTCTTTTCTTTGTAAAGGGGAAAAAAGGGTTATCCAAAGGCGAACATTGATGTTACATGCTCCACCAGTTAGCTACTAAAAGGGGTTTGGGATTTCTGATGATGATAGATCTAACAAATACTTCTGAGCTATTTCTCTAAGGAGGCAGAGTTCAGGAAGGGCGGCAAAGATGGATTTGCACATCTGAGACTGTTGCGGGCCACTTTGGTTTCCAGTGTACGTTAAAGCAGCCCTTAGGACTGCTCTAACGTGCCCATGTTAGAAATGAATTCCAAGGGACTAGTTAGAGAATAGTTGGAATATTGTACACTCCAACCACAGCAGCTCCCTTGCTGCCTATGCCCTTCACTGGAGACTGCCAATGGATTGGGGGGTGGGGTGGGGTGGCGGTATAGGTCATTATATCAGCCCTATGCTTTTGGAGAAATTGCCTGGTGAAGAAATCCTGCTACTATCCAACCCCTTTATACCAAAGAAAAGACTTAATGACTGGTGAATGTAGCCTGGGACCAGACTCAGAGACTTCAGTGTGACTGTTCTCATGAGTAAGCTTCATCAAGCTCAGACACTTGGTCCCTTGCTACCAGTGCATTTTACTGGCTTCTCTCCCCTCTTGATGATTTAAACACAGCATTTCTGACTTGCAAACTGCATGTAGTTGCCAATCTAGTGGGTGGATGCTTTCTTCCCCAGAGCCCTGCATTGCAGGAGGAGTTGAAAAGGGGGAAAAGTACAAAAGAACTCTCCTCATCCCCCACCTCAAGGGAAATAAAGTGTCTAAACAAGTAAAAAAAATCTGAATAGTGGACTGTTAAAACATGTCAAGAGAGCAAATGGATAAAACATGCCACAAGCCAAATTAAAGGACTGAATTAATGATCAAAGATGTGCTTGCTTTCTGGATATGCAACCCTTGGCTAATTGACAACTAAGGGAGTATGTGGTAACTATCTGTATATATGAAGGGGGCAATCACCAAGAAGAGAGAGATTTTCTTAGGATGGGTCAAAGTTGGTACAGCAGAATGAAGCTGGGCACAGGAAATGTAAGATGAATTCAGGAGAGTCTTCCTACTAGAGTTTCTTATGTTTTGTTGAAAAATGTGTGTGAGAGAGAAAAAGGGCATGGAAGGGAAGAAATGGCAACATTTTCTGCACAAAGGCTTTTCATTTTCCAATCAGCTGTGCCTCACAGTGAGGTTCTGCAGACTGCATCAGAGTTTAAGGACAGCGAAGGATGGAACAAAAATTTGGATATAAAACCTCATGTTTGAGAATTTAAACCAGTGTCTAATTATTAAGCATTAGGATGAAACCTTCCCCAGGGCAGATTATCCCATATTTGCGGATTAAGGGGTTTCTTTAAGCATCTGTTGCTGGCCACTGTCAGAGCTGGATGGTCATCAGGTCTGATCCAGTCTGGTAATTCCTGTGAATGAGGACAGGGGTGCAGTTCAGGGTATGTGAATGTGAAGAATCAGACGTGCAGATTATGAATGTTTGTTTGTTGGAAGAGGAAGGGAGTTTGTTACTCCAGCTCCTCAGCTTCATGTGTTTATGTATATGGGTGGAGAGGCCCGAAAATGAAGGCTGCTTTGGAGATTATTGATGGTGGGCTTCACTGCTGATATCATGGTTTTCTAGTGATTGTTTTGTTTAGAAAAATACTTGTTTAACTCAGTTAAGGTTGTGTTTTGTAGGGTGATTTCTTTGTTTTTTAAGAAAGTAGGGCAATGTGTTGTGTGGTGTAGAGGAGTGTTTGCATCGCCTGCTGGTCTCCCTGGCAATGGGGGTGTGATCAGAGAAATAGGACTGTAGCAGCACGGCTGTGTCACTAAAAGCCTTGTAGTGTAGCCATAGCCTTACAAGAGGATTGCATATGGAGAAAATTCCTCTGTAGCAGAGCTATTAGCTCCAATTGGCAGGCCACTGTACTTTCAAGTCTGCTCCCTCTCCCTGACCGACCCTGTTGATGTTAGATGCTGGGACATGATAGAAAGAGAGAAAGGAGAGCCTCTTGGCTGGCTACAAATAGGAGTCAGTCTTCACAGCTCTATCACACCAGTCCCTGGCTGCTTTGAGGAGGTCAGAAGAAAGTGTTCTCTGATACTTGATCTGTTCCCTAACTGGGATGGGGGAGGGTTGAGAGTGTATGTGGATTTTTCCAGTGAATAACTCCAGTGCCTCCTGCTGCTACTGCTGCTGCTCAGAGTTTTGCCATGCAGCAGCAAGAGTAGCACTGTATGAGTTTCACTAATATTTCTAGACAGGCCAAAGTAGCATGAATTTCATTTTGCTGCTGCCTGGCAAAGTTAAGAGCAGAAGCAGTGGCACTGAGCTGTCTGCAGACGCGGGAAAACAACACTGCATAAGTTCAGATTTGGAAGGCTCTCCCCACAACATAAAGGTAGAAAATATTTTTAAAATTGAAATCTTCAACGCTGCATAAATTGATGTCTTAAGTCACTCATTTTCCTGGGCAAGCTTTACACTTGCCATTGGTGAGTAGATTTTTGAAGCCCTTTTCTAGTTTTATACTTTATTTTGCAAGGAGACACATACCAATAAGTTGACAGTGCAGCTCATGCGGTTGTCCTTGCTCTCATCATTCATTACTGTTCGGTAATCCAGCAGCTTTTCCAAAAGCCCTTTAACTAGGTTTACAAAATTTTCAACTGTCTTGGAAATGTCACGATACTCTGAAGAACATTCCATGAGTCTGCAAACAATGAGAGAAAATTGCTTTACAGCTATGTTAGAACAGCTGCACCCTGAGCTGAGATGCTTTGGGGCAAACACTATATTACAATGATGATAACTATATTACAGTATTGATCATAAAACAGGCATAGAGTGCATTTGAGATTCCCTTTGTGGTTTGATAATCTACACATCTAAAAGTTGGATGGGGAGCAAGTCCAAACAAAGAATGGAATGTTTACTTTTCTTGTCTGGAAAACAACTACAATTTCAAGGGTGCAGGTGTGTACGTATGTGCTTTGCTGGGGTCCCATTATTTCCATTCCCCTTTACTAATTGCAAAGTCAATGTGTTACAAAAACCCTCCCTCTACATGAGTCCTGACATCAGCCAGAAAGGATTGCTGGAGGATGTTGTGGCAGTCGAGTATAGTGTCACCCACACCACCGCCAGCTGGATGGGTGAATTTAGACGCCAAACCAGAATTCCAGCTCTATCCTGTGTTCCATAAGGACATTTTACAGGTGTGTAACATACTCCATGAGGACTTTAGAAGTACACCTCATTTTGGATTTCATAAATACACAAACTTTTCGGGATAAAGTAAAACAACAACAAAATTTTCAGCAAGCATACGTAATAGGAGGCAACATGAAACTTAACTCTTATAAAGGCGTCGTACACAGGCACACACACAAAAATATTTATATATTGCATTCTGAGGGTACATCTACACTGCAATAAAAGACCTGCAGTATAGCCGCAGCGTGCTCTGTCTCTTGGGGCTCAGTCTGGGGAACTAAAAATTGCAGTGTACCTGTTTGGACTCAGGCTGGAGCCTGGAATCTGAAACCCTGCTAGGGTGGAAGGCGTCCGAGGCTGGGCGCCAGCCCGTGTCTGAACATGTATTCTACAATTTTTAGCCCGGAATCTTGAGAGCCTGAGTCAATTGATCCAGCCTCTGAGACCCAGTGTATTTATTGCAGTGTAAACATAACCTGAGACAGTTCCTGCTTCATGCTCTCATGGTGATATGTTTGTACATAAGAAAGAGAGAAATACAAGTTGGATAATTCACACAGTGATCTGACTTCAGTTTTGTCTTTGGCATAGGACAGTTGGGGGTTCATTTTGCAGTTCAATTTTAAAAATGTGTTAAGAGATGGCCGAAGATCTCAAGTCTTTTTTCTCCAATCTAAATACTTACTTCACTGTCAGAAGGCTGTGGGGTTTATGGTCTTTATTTCATTACCAAAGGACACTACGTACAGTGGTCATCACTAAAAAAGACACTTGACAACTGTTTCTATCTTATGCACTTATATGACTCCCATTATCATGGTACCTGAGTGACTCACAATCTTTAATGTATGTATCCTTCCATCCCCTGCGAGGGAAGGAAATGCTATTATGCCCAGTGTTAGATGAGGCAGAGAGGGGCTAAAGATTGAAGACTCACAGTCTGTGGCACAGCAAGTCCCAAGTCTTCCCAAGTCCCAGAATAGTGCACAAACCATTGGATCATTCTTCCTCTTTCTGTTACTGTTAAACAAACTCTGAGGAGATGCAGTTATTTTCTTTTGTTTTTCAAGTTACACGTTAGTAGGATTTTCATACCAGTATAAATAACAATTGGAAATCACACTACAAAAAATAAGGCAATTCACTAACAAGACTTCATCATTGCTATTTGGCCTTAATTAGTAACTAAAAACAAAATTAAAAAAATGAGAATAACTGTGGACTTGACTGCTGCAGATTTAATTCTTTCCCCGTGTTTCTTTTTTTGTGATAGGTGAGTTTTCACCAGCATTTCCCAAATTGTATTAAACCTGCAAGTTGTCCTATATTATTTACAAAAGTGCCTAAATGATTTAGGAGCAGAAGACATTGATTAGTGGTCACTTTTTGTTTTTCCAGCCAAGTTATTTAAAGGGACAGAATGATTATTGTCTTGAAGTTTTTTCTCTCTTGTTTAAGGACTTTTTTCCTAGGCATTCTATTTCCCCCCCCCCCCCCCTTTTCCTTTTTTCATTCCTTTTGTTTCTATTTTTTTTTTATATCTGAGTAGTTATATAGTTATCTGGTATATTCCATTAATGGTTTCATAGCTGAATGTTTGGAAAGTACAGTAAATTCCACTGGAAAATTATGAAAACACATTGGCAGTTGCAGAATCCTCACTGAAATTACATTGTGTGCCTATGTTGAGCTGTTTCCTTGTTATACCATGTGCTATTCTTGATCTCTCAATGTTTCATTAGCTAATTTCAATTTATATGTAAACAAAGGTATTCTGTAATTTATTGTTGTTCTTTGGAAAATGCACCATTTGAATCGGCATTACTGATTGTCATTAACAAGAAATGTAATAATGTGAGCTTTTGCTATTGAAGATCTATCAAGACTTCTACACATGTACATATTCATATTAAAAGTTCTCCTTTCACAGATTTCCTACAAAAAAATCTATCTAGAATAGAACAAGTCAAAAATGGGCTATTCCCTCTGTTTCTACCCCACTCACTGTGTATGTGTATACTCATACCTTGTGCAATGTGGGAAGTGGGGAGAGAAAGAGATGGAGGAGACTTGGATAACTGGTATGAACTGATTGTGTTGAAAGATTAACTGAAATGCTTTCAGAAAACAACTACAAGAAACTGCTTAAAATCTTAAACACATTACAAAATAGGATGTTAATTACTAGCGTCTGCAGACACATGTGCCCTGAATCAGCAAAGAGCTTAGAGTACATGCTTAATTTTAAGCATGTGTAATAGGATGTAAGCTTAAGTGCTTCGTTGAATCAGCATCTGAAATGTTACTATGAAATATATTTTAAAGCAAAATAATGATTCCTTCACTTACCTGCAAGACTACACTTTTTGATTTTGTGGTTCACCGACTTGATGACGTCACTAATATCTGAATAAAAGTAAGGAATTAATCTCCCTGCCATTATTTAGATATTAGTGACATCATCAATTCTTGCTGTGGGAGAACCCTGAAGTCACTTCCTGATAGGTGAGAAAGTAGGGATTTTCAGCTATTTTGTTTTAAAATGTTTATTTGTAATATTTCTGATATTTTCTTAAGTTCAAAAATGGACAGAACCCAGCATGCCCTTCATTCTCTCTTCTACAATGCTTTGTGTCAGTGGAAGCAAACACTACAGGGCACCGCTGTTTGAACAACAGAATGGTATTTTTCATCTAAAATGTGCATGTTACAACTGATTGCCATTTCAAGATCAAAACTCAGCTCAATTTTTAACATCTAAAAAAAAGTAAGTTGCACGCTGTGTGAGTGATGGAAGAAGTGGGCTCTTACTCAGATGAAGGGATGAGTATAGTTCAACTTTTAAATTCTAGATTTGATAAAGGCTTCCTAAATAAGGGATTTCGATAGTTGTCCAAATTCTGCACTTAGCCAGCATTTACTCCAAGTGACCCTGGATTTACACTGGTGAAACAGAAAGCAGAATTATGCTCACTAAATCTTACACTCAAAGCATGAATTGATTTTGTCACATAACCCACAGTCTAATAACTATTGATTACAGATGTTACTCCTGGATCATAAATGCTGGAAAAATCATGTGATGAATCAGTACTGTTTACCATCCCAGAGGTTAAAAAAAATACTGAAGTTTGAAACAACGTGGTCTTATTGGTTAGGTAATAAATGTACCAGGCTGGCTGCATTGAGTTCTGGGAAAACTAATACCACTAGATCTGTGTGAAACCCTCTGTCCTTTAGATTGCACAAAGTTCCAAGGAATCTTTATGGCAAACTTTAGTTCACATTCCCAAATTATTATCTCGGCCTATCCCAAATCTCAAGCAAGAAACTTAGACAAAACTCTGTAACCTGATGAGTTTAATCCTGAAGCTCAGCCAGATCATAAAATACTTGTAGCACTTTGAAAAATGTCCTGCTGAAATATTTTAATGCTCTATCATTTTCTAGGAATCCATATATTATCAAAGTCCAAAATATCAGTTAATCTAGTCACTACTATCTACTATATCTTCACAGAAACAGTCACCTTTTTCTAAAAATTTCTGCCTTTGAGAATGACTAGTCTACTGTGTTAATTATAGTGGGGGTTTCCAAGTTCTGAATGTGGCATAAAGCATAAATTTTTGAGTTATATACTGGAACTAAGAGAGCTCCTTTGAAATTTAGATTTTTGTTAAATACTTTTCAAAGTGTTATTATTTTACAACCTTTGTAGAATATGGAATTCTTTCTAGAGCACTTTCAAAAGCTTTTCACAAGTATTTTATAGGTGTGCTTAAATAAGAAAATTTATAGTAAATATTTTAATTTAAAAGAAAAATGACTGCTCAATCATTGAAATAAGTTATTTCATTAATGAATTCCTTTCCTGTAGTTTTCCAAAATATGGGAGGGAATATCAGCTAGTGATTGAATAAGGCAACTAAAAGTCAGGATTCTCCAATACTATCCCTTGTTTTCCTCCTATGAAGCCATCTTACTTGGGCAAGTCACTTAACGTGGATATCACATTGCTGTCCTTCCCCTTTTTCAGATGGGTAAACTGTGTTGAAATCCCCAGATTAAAAGTTCTATGTAAACACTCAGATTTTACTAGCTTTAATTTGTGAGCTTTTCATAGCCATCTTTTCCCTTCCTCACCTGATGCTGCCCTATGAACAATTAATCTCTAATTATTAAGCACACTATATTGTTGAGTTTTGGAATGTGGCATCAGAGGAGACCTCAAACCTCTGTTACTAATTCTCTCCTCTTGTCTTTTTTGGTTATAAGGAATCATGATGGACAGACAAGTCACACGGACATACCAGCTGTGGATACTGATCCCTACCATATGTAATGGATAAAACCTTCTTGTAACTCTGACCCATCTCATGACATTGGGGGCCCATAAATAAAAATCAGTCTCTTGCTAACATTATTACATATCACACCTGGTTTCAGAATAAAGTCAAACCTCTGATTAAACAGCACAAAGGAAGCCAGGTGAATTGCTAAGACTGGTAGGGACCATAACATTGAGGTCATTGAAACCCTTACAATTTTTTCTGGAAAAAGTAATAAGGGAGGAAAAATCAGCCTTGAAGTAAATCCAGGGGCACTGGAGATCTACAGTGGTGGGGTCATGAAGGGGATTGCAAACTGCTAGACAAAGTCATTCCAAATGTCAAGAATACTCAGGGGTGTACACAAGAAAGTCACTTGGGAAATGTTTCTTTTCTTTACAAAAAAACCCAGCTTCCAGGTGAGACTATTGACCATTAGGTAACAGACCTACATACTGAAGTTGTCAGTTTAGGCACACTTCAAAATGCGTAAGTATTTTTAATTTTGGGAAGCCCAACTCTATAGCAAAAAAGCAAAACCTCTTCTTTCTCAAAGCCTGCTGTGATGTATACAAGTTTAAACTACTTCTTTTTAACATTGCCTCAGATCTTTGTGAATCTGGCATGTAGTGGCAGTAACTGTTGATGAGCAGAAAATAATCAACACCACAAGAAAAGCTATACAAAATGAGAGCCTTAAATTGAACACACACAAATGCTGACCATGCTTAGTTACATAGGACACACAATGGAGTTCTGCTGGACCCCTGCGTAGTAATGGAAAAATCCCCAAATAAGGAAGCCTCACAGAGATCTAGAGGCACGTTACAATATCCTATCAAATTCATCAGATTTAAGTGTTCTATTCAGAATGCTGCTTGGAGAGAATATGGGACATACTGGGTTGATCACTAAATGAGAAGTGTTTGGGGGAAAAAAGTTGTCACTGGAGAACCAGTACTGAAACATTTTGAGATTAACAGAGGCCAAGTTCTCAGATGACACAAACTCACATGGATTAGAAGCTGACCTGCAAAATGAGCTCCTGCTTCTAAGGAAACCATTGTACAAAACATAGACTTCAGAAAAAGTTCACAAAGTGCACAATCACATATTAAATATGAAATACATGCATGGAAGAAGCTTCTTGCAGTAGATGTACTTTCAAGAACACCTATGAATAGTGAAAGCAAGGCACTGCAGGAAGAGCAGTTCAAAATAATTATGACTCAAATTCTATGCACGTTTGAAACAGAATTTGAGCAGCTGAAATGAGAAACCCAAAATGTCCCAAGCTTGAGATAGTAAATATATATGGATGGCACTTCCAAGCATGACAAGTTACTGGAACTATACTTATTAAATTGCAGCAAATTATGGTCACTGCCATTATAAATCATAGCATAATGTTGGAAATACTAAGCATACTCTCCTTCAGTGCCCGTATGATATTGAGAACTGTAAGAAGATAGCCTGAGATGCCCCGTTCTTGCCAGGCATGCATGAATGCCTTGTCAAAGATAAAATGTACAATGTGAAAATGTGAAATAAATACAGGAAAGGGAATGCAAAAGAACGAAAAAAAAAAACACCCATGAAATTCTTGAATATCCTTGATCCAGGGTATGCAGATCCATTTGAGTTAAACAGGAACAATTCTCTCTCTTTTAGTGGTCAACTACTTATATTTTCTTAGAAATTAATCTGTTGGAAAATACACCAAAAATCAACCCACTGACATTTCAATGGGCAAAACCATTTAAGTTTTACTAAAACAGTTGCACTCTGTGCTTCATTTTTAATCTCATCTCATACAGTGTTACTTGGATTCTGTGTAATGGATTTATTTCTCAATGAAATCACCTCTTTTGGGGGTAGAAAAAGATAAGGAAATGGGTCATTAGGTATTTGTCTCATGAACACACTACTTACATTGACTCAAACAGCTGCATGTATTGCTCATCTCCACGTCCTCCTTCCACTTCATGGTCCAAATTTAAAATTATTTCATTTTCAAACTTGAGGGAGGGAAAAAGACAAAACATAGAATAATGCACAATACACATATAACAAGAAAATTCAAGTAAGAGAAATCAAGATATCCACAGGTCAAATAAAGCCTAAAATGACATGACAAAAACATCACGTTTTTCAGGCTTAAATGGAAGAATAATTTCCAGTTAAATAACACTCTCCAGAGTATCTTTAAATAACTTTTCCCTAGCACAAATTGTTATAGTGCCTGAAGGATACCTTTGAAGTATTTGCATTATAGGTTTCCAAACCACTTCCTAGCTTGAGATATAGGACTTCAAAGTGAAACAGAGCTATTTTATTCCAGATTAACTCTGAATGAACAACCTTATAGAATATAATGTCTTCATACAATTGGTTACTCTCAGGCCACTGTACATTTTTACTAGGAATGAGTAAAATATAAAATAGCAAAAATAATCAAAAATATATATAACAATGGAATTAAAATTTGTTGTAGTTAGACATGTTTTCTCCCTTTGCAATCTTAGGGTATGTCTACACTACGAGGGTAATTCGATTTTACTTAAATCGAATATGTGGAATCGATATTGCAAAGTCGAACGTGTGTGTCCACACTAAGGACACACTAAGGACAGTAATTCGACTTTGTGAGTCCACACTAACGGGGCGAGCGTCGATATTGGAAGCGGTGCACTGTGGGCAGCTATCCCACAGTTCCCGCAGTCCCCGCTGCCCATCGGAATTCTGGGTCGAGCCGCCAATGCCTTCTGGGTAAAAAAAATTTGTCGTCATCCGTCCGTCACTAACGCCCTCCCTCCCTCCATGAAAGCGCCGGCGGGAAATCAGTTCGCGCACTTTTCTGGTCAGTGACAGCGCGGACGCCACAGCACTGCGATCATGGATCACGCTGCGACCATCGCTGCACTTCTGGCCGTTCTCAACACCTCGCAGCTTATCATACACCTTTCCCTGAGGCAGATGAAGAGTAATCAGGCGAGGAGGCTACGACACCGCCGTGATGGCCTGAAGTCGGAGAGTAGCACAGAGCTGTCAGAAACCACGAGCCCCAGCGCCCAGGACATCACGGTGGCAATGGGTCATGTGGATATCGTGGAACGGCGATTCTGGGCCCGGGAAACAAGCACGGACTGGTGGGACCGTATAGTGCTTCAGGTCTGGGATGAATCCCAGTGGCTGCGAAACTTTCGCATGCGGAAGGGGACTTTCCTCGAACTTTGTGAGTTGCTGTCCCCTGCCCTGAAGCGCCAGAATACCAGGATGAGAGCAGCCCTCACAGTTGAGAAGCGAGTGGCCATAGCCCTCTGGAAGCTTGCAACGCCGGACAGCTACCGGTCAGTCGCGAACCACTTTGGTGTGGGCAAATCTACCGTGGGGGTTGTTGTCATGCAAGTAGCCAAGGCAATCGTGAAGGTACTGCTCCCAAAGGTAGTGACCCTGGGAAACGCGCAGGTCATCATAGATGGCTTTGCCGCGATGGGATTCCCAAACTGCGGTGGGGCTATCGATGGGACTCACATCCCTATCCTGGGACCGGACCACCAGGCCAGCCAGTACATCAATAGAAAGGGCTACTTTTCAATGGTGCTGCAAGCACTGGTGGACCATCGGGGACGGTTTACAAACATCTACGTCGGATGGCCGGGCAAGGTTCATGACGCTCGCGTGTTCAGGAACTCTGGTCTGTTTAGACGGCTGCAGGAAGGTATTTACTTCCCAGACCACAAAATAACTCTTGGGGATGTGGAGATGCCTACAGTCATCCTCGGGGACCCAGCCTACCCGCTAATGCCCTGGCTCATGAAGCCCTATACTGGCGCCCTGGACACAGAAAAAGAACTGTTCAACTACCGGCTGAGCAAGTGCAGAATGGTAGTGGAGTGTGCTTTTGGCCGTCTCAAAGGGAGATGGAGAAGCTTACTCACTCGCTGTGATCTCAGTGAAACCAATATCCCCATCGTTATTGCAGCTTGCTGTGTGCTCCACAATCTGTGTGAGAGCAAGGGGGAGACCTTTATGTCGGGGTGGGAGCTAGAGGCAAATAGCCTGGCTGCTGATTACGCCCAGCCAGACAGCCGGGCGATTAGAAGATCACAGCGGGACGCCCTGTGCATCCGTGAGGCTTTGAAAGCTAGGTTCCTGAGTGAGCAGGGCAACCAGTGACTTTTCAGTTTGTGGACAGAAAAGCTGAACCTGCCCCCGTTTCTTTACCCAGTTCATTTTGACTATCCTCTCCAGTTACATACCCCCTTCACCCCCTTCCCCTTCCCAAAAAATAAAATCATTTCGATTTTGTTAATGAACACCGTTGTCTGTATTGCTGTTTTCGCGGGAATATTTTAAACCGGGGACGCAGACTGTGGCGGGGGGCGGGTTCAGTGTTCTGATGCAAATGATGCTTCTAAACTCCCGGAATGACAGGCTCCGCACTGGTGGACTGGTTATTTCAATGGAGCCTGCCAGCACTCCTGGGGGGGACTGTGTGTATGTGTCGGCTATGTGACTTTCTGGCAGGGGGGGTAGGGTTACAGATCCCCTGCTGCGTGGATCTGTGATCCAGGATAAGGACCGCTGCATAAGATCTGTAACTGCCCTCCCCCGCCACAAAGTCACAGAGCAACCCCCCCCCCCCAGAACATGAAAAAC